GTCGTTGTAGGTTGTGAGGTTAGTCACATAGTAAAGAGCTTTGACAGTTTTTCTGAGGACTTTTGATTGCAAGGATTGGATGTGTTGGATGCTGGATGGCTTTGGCAGAACCGCACAGTTCCACTCCGTATGTGAAAAGTGGTTGCAGTAAAGTCTTGTATAAGGTTAGTTTAGTATTGACGGTCAAGACGGATTTCGACCTAGAATCTTCTTAGTTGTCCGTGTCTTCTGTTAAGTTTTTGTCTTTAAAGTCTTGTGAGAGGATTCCACGTCAGTCTGCTGTTTAGGTACAGTCTGAAGTATTTACCTTGAATGGAAGTCGGAATCTCTTTGCTGTTCATGTACAGTGGAGGGCATGGTTATTTTTTCAATGTGAACATACACTGAGTATATTTTTCTTCATTCGGTCTTGCTCTCTACATTTTGCACTAATCTTCGTTGTGTTCTTTGATATTGGAGGTTAGAGGACAAAATTGCGGTATTGTTCACATAGGTGGTGAAGATGGTGTTGTACAACAGGTAGGTCAGGAGTACAGATGACATAAAGGATGGGGTCAACAATGCTCCCTTGTGGGATACCGGCTTGTATCGGTCTGATTTCCGAGAACTAATGACGTTTCCGCACTTCACAGTGAAGCAGCGGTTTGTTAGGTAGGATTTCAGGATAAGGTAGTAAGGAGTAGGCAGGAATGGTTTAAGTTTATAAAACATACCCGGGTGCCATACCCTAATCAAAAGCCTTTGCTACATCTAGGAAAGCACCCAAGCAATACTATTTCTTCTCGAGAGCAGAGGAGATGGTGCCGACAACTTTCAAACCTTATTGGATCGTAGAATGATGTGAACGGAAACAGAATTGTTAAAGGAAATTATTTTATAAGTATCTAGAAAGGGATTAATCGCTTTAAAAGGAATCTTTCGAGGAATTGGGACATTGCAGGAAGAAGAGTGGTGGGTCTGTAAGAGGATATGTGTTTGGGAGTTTGTGAGGTTTAGGAATGAAGTTAAGTATAAGATAAAGATAAGTATTGAGGTGTGCAGCTAGGCTAGCAGTACAGATGATATAAAGGAAGGGGCCAAGAATGCTCCCGTGTGGGACGCCGGCTTGTATCGGTCTGATTTCAACATCTAGCTACTCACCCAAGCAATACTCTTTGTTCTCAAGTGCAGAGTTGTTGCCGACAACTTTCAGACCTTGTTTGATCATAGAATGTTGTAGACTGAAGCCGAATTGTTAGAGGGAATTATAAGTATCTAGGATGGGGATTAATCGCTTTAAAAGGACAGTTTCGAGGATTTTGGACATTACAGGAAGAAGGTTTATGGGTCTGTAGGTGGATATGTGGTTGGGAGATTTGTGAGCTTTAGGAATAAAGATATCGACTGAATACAGAGTATCAAATCAACAAAATCATCATTGATTATTCTAACTGCCAAATAAAGGTTTCATGCAAACAAAACATTTTTAAGAAAATACTTGTTACTTGATAATATTATCCAGATGAATTTTAAATTATCGCTAATTAAGCGTTAACCCGTTTCGCCGATGTGTAAATAATGTCGATGTTATCATAATAAGAAAATATGCTAAATCACACTACGGAAATTTTTTATGTTTATGAAACTTGCCAAAGATAATAATGCTAATGCTTAATTCAAAAGTGGAATTTTTATAAGTTGTCAAAGTGGTTCTTTCGTGTTATATGAATGTTATATGAAATTTTTGTTTGAGCACTGCATCAAAATGCATCTGGCAAAAAATAAAACAGCGAGACTTACTAGAGAGGCTTTATTTAATTTGTGAATTAATTGTGCTACATTGTAAAATAAGATTTGTTATTGGCTGTCCTCAATTTTCAACCATCCTGGATCAATTGAAGAACGATAATAGCTCTATATTCGAAATTGCTGTTCTTGCATGGCCAGTCCTTTGTCCGTCGTACAAAACGACCGGAGTAATAGTTGTACCTCCAGGTGTTTCGCTCTTTCCGACGCTCTTGTGATGAAAATTAAAGATTATAAAAGCCCACGCTGCCGGGAAAGGGTTGCATTTATAGTTTTGTCAAGTATTTGTAACCCCCATGGCCCCTGAATGGGTTCCCTCATTTCAAATCACCCCTCTAAATCCCCTCCACGCGGAATAAAGGAAAGGCTTAAGGTTTTATTTTTTCCGTACACAAAAATTCTATTAAAAAAAATACGTTGACCCTTTTTTTCTGTTAAACCCTTTGTCAAAGGGTTGTCTGTTCAGGGTAAAGGGTTCCGGGTTCGTCCTTTTTTGGAGAAATTCATGGGAGAATGGTTTTTTTTTTTTTCTTTTTGTAAAGCGCACTCTTGTCATATTAGTCCTATAAGGAGCATTCGAGCACCTGAAACAACATCCAATCCCGTGATTTAGAACTCTCTCGGCTTTTATACGACTCATGCTCCGTGACTACACACAAAAACTATACCTGACATTTCCCACCGTGCTCATTATTAACATTTTTTTCTCCAAATCATCACGCAATTAAAATTTGTATTATAATAACACGCAATATGAAGTAGGCGTTATTAATTAGGAAAAACTTTCATAGAAGTCATTTTAACTTGTCTGGTTTTGTTTTAAACAATAACATTTCTGAACAGTTTTGTATCAGCATAAATTAAACATTATTTAGGGATCGTGAGAACGGTATGGTGTGATGTAGGTTTAGAAAAACATTTTCTTTATAGTGCCAACGTTTCGATCTTTAGTGAGATCATCTTCAGGGCTCAAAGTGTGTGTTTTCTATGTAGATGTGTCATTGCTGTGCGTCGTGTTGAGAGTCTCTCTGAAGATGATATCAATAAAGATGGAAACGGCACGATTAAGAAAATGTTTTTCTAAAATTTACGACACACCAGACCGCATCTCACGACCTCCAAATAATCAGTACACATAAATTAAACATTTAACACAGAAACCATTTTTCCTTTCCGAGTAATCGTGTTGGAATGATATATTAAAACTAGAGCATAGTTTATACGTTATAAGTTTTACATAACGTTTAATTTATGCGTACTATTTAGTGACAGTTAATTAATGATTATTTTGAGATCGTGAGATGATCTCTAAATAATCATTAATTAACTGTCACTAAATACCACACATAAATTAAACATTTAATACAGAAACCATTTTTTTCTTTCCGAGTAATCACGCTGGAATAATACACAGTAGAAATCCGTTTATCCGCACTTGAAGGGACTGGGATTTGTCCGGATGATCGTAAGTCCGGATAATCCGAAAATTTGTGATTTTATTAGTATCGTGTCATAAAAAAGGAAACAACACACATACGAAAGTGAACACTTTTATTCGTATATCAAGTAATATTTAAAGTAATAGATAATTTTTATTACTTTAAAGTTTTATTTTTGTTTATGTCGGGACACGCGTTTCTCAAAAATGTATACGTAAAAAATACCTAATACAAATATACGAACAACACGAGACAACAATTTTTAGTCTTTTAAAATATTATAAACCTTTTATTTATTTTTTTGTTTTATTTATTTAGAAATCGTGAGATGCGGTCTGGTGTGATGTAGGTTTCAGAAAAACATTTTCTTTATCGTGCCAACGTTTCGATCTTTATTGAGATCATCTTCAGGGCTCAAAGTGTTTGTCTTTCTGTGTAATTGTGCCATTCTTGCGTGTCGTGTCGAGAATTTCGAACGACGAATTAAAGGTATCATAGTTGAATTATGAATTTTAAAAAATTAATATACATAAATTGAAAATTATGAAAAATTTATAAAAATGTGTGGTGTTTAGTTACTTAATTAATAATTAGTTGGAGATAGTGAGATGCTGTCTGGTGTGATGTAAGTTTAGATAAACATTTTCTTTATCGTACAAACGTTTCGGTCTTTATTGAGACCATCTTCAGGGAGACTCTCAACACGACGCACAGCAATGAAATAACTCCACAGAAAACACACATTTTCAGCCCTCAAAATGATCTCACTCAATACCACACATAAATTAAACATTTAATACAGAAACCATTTTTCCTTTCCGAGTAATCACGTTGGAATAATATATTAAAACTAGAGCATAGTTTATGCGTTATATACTTTACTTAATAAAGAAAATTAGGTGAAAGGTTAAGCTGACCATCGTTATTTATTTTTCCATTATGTTTTAACATTTACCACAGAGATCAATTTTTTTTAAATTTAAGGCTTTGGATGTGGATTTTGGTTTAGAACTGGGTAGTGTTTGTTGGAGTAAAATGGCTATGATAGATCGTTTATGAATTCAAGGAAACGTGCTCAAATGAAATGGGTTTGTCTCCCGGACCTTCTTTGTCTTAAAAGGCCGTTTCTGTCCTTATTATTCAAACAAACGAGCTGTTTTTAATTGAAACGTTTTTGCATAATTACCTTTATTGTATTTATTTCCTTTTATATTGCACAATAATGACGATCGTTATCCCGAATAGGTCATAAATGTTGAGAGAGGAAAAAATACGTATGAGAATTATTAGCGATTAACATATTCTATTTGCCCATTCAAAACGTATAATATAATAAGAAGGTTAAAATTAATTACTTTCTTGACGTAATTAGTTAATTTGCCTTTCGGCCCCCCGGTCTAAAAAATATGTAAAGCAACATCGCGATTTTTACCGATTTGCGCTGACCTTTTTGAAATTATCTCGAGAGGGTGCAGCGTTTGCAAACGCATTAGGTCGTAACTTGTTAATTACGTTCTTTAGAAAAACTTTTTTTAGCCCGACTCTGTAGAAAAGGCTGATGTATAGGATATTGTCACAAAGAATCAGGTTGTAAGCTCAGGAGTGATTGATGGTCCTATGCTTATTCGTATGTTTTACGTCACTTTTTATTAACGAAGCTATTCATCCGTCTTCTGGTTCGGCTCACGAGATCCTCAACGGAAAAAAAATTTTGGATATGCCTTTTATTCGACATATTTTACGTCTTGACGAAATTTTCTATTTTCTTTGTTTCAGTTGTGATGGGCCGTGAACAACCTAGTCCAATTATTCGTGAAGGAAAGACGGTGACTCCGATAGATTATTCTCGTTATGTCAGGAGGTTTGCAAGTTCTTTGGAATGTGGAAACCAGTACTGCAAAGAGCTTAACTACAGGTAAAAACTATTTAATACGATTTTTTAAAATATATTTTTAAACGAGAATTGTTTTTTTGAACAGAGAACATTTTCATTGCCTCGATTGCAACTCGAGAGTTTTTGTTAAAAAAGAGGAAATGATAAGACACTTTAAGTGGCACAAGAAGAGGGACGAATCTCTTCAGCACGGATTTATGCGGTATTCGCCGAGCGACGATTGCTCTGACAAGTATCCGATGTGCGGGCACAACAGAAAACAGACGCATTACCATTGCATACAAGGTACATGCGACAAAGTGTACATAAGCACGTCGGACGTTCAGATGCATGCCAACTATCACAGAAAGGATTCGGCGATTATCCAAGAAGGATTTCAGCGATTGAGAGCGACTGAAGAGTGCCGGACACGACACTGTGCCTTTTTCGGCCAGAGGACCACGCACTTCCATTGCAGAAGAGACCACTGTCAATTTACGTTCAAAAACAAAGCGGATATGGGTAAGATATCGCTACTACCGTTTTTCTGCCAAGAACGAAAAGTAATCGATGATTTCCCCCTATTAGAAAAACACAAGACATACCATATCAAGGATGAACAACTGGCTAGAGACGGTTTCAAAAAATTTCTGAAACCGGATCCTTGTGGATTTGCGAATTGTAGATTTTCGCAAGTCTGCAATCATATTCATTGTATTAGAGAAGGGTGTTCATACATCTTACATTCCAGTGGCCAGCTTGTTAGTCATAAACGTAAACATGAAAGAAAAGAGAACGAAATCGCCTACCGGAAATTTAAGCTAGCTCAACAAGCTGTCGTAAACATCGGTAGTGCAGATCAGGTCAGTATCCTTATGATGTCTTTATATAATATTCAGATCTAAATAACGACTGATATGTTTTGTTTCCAGACTCACACTGATTTACCACCTGGGACATCACTGCTGATGCAGCAGGCATCCTCGTTGGCCGCTCTTAATGCGCTCAGTGAAAATTTCACTACAGCACCGACTTCGGAACGGATGAGTCCCAAACTGTCTACATCTTTTCAGTACAATGTATCTCCTGGTAATTGTCCAATTGAATTATCCAAAAATGTATGGTCTTTAAATATTCATTTTTACAGGGAGTCCAGGCTTCATGGACCAGTCTACATCATCTCAAGATTATGATGATGAATTCACTCGCTACATTGCTTCCTGTAGTACAAATTACATTTGTCAACATCAGTGTCCGTACTCAGGCACAGAACATTTCCACTGCAAAGAACCTTCCTGCGAACTTTCTTTTCGGTAAGAAAAATATTTTTTAATGTTATCCACACTATTTTTTTTGTTCTCAACACAATTTTGTAATAATTTTGTTACAGGTGCAGAGAAACAGCTGAAGGTCATGCGAGGATGCATGAAGCTCAAGAGCGTGTCAGTGATTTCTACCAAGAAAGCACCGGACCCCAGTGCCAGGAGAGCAACTGTCCCAGCGAAAAACATTTCCATTGTACTTGGGTAATTATTTTCACATAAAATTATTGTTGTTTTATTATAAGATAATTAATTAAATTTCCCAATTTAGGATGGATGCAGTGAAGTTGTAATGCCTAGCGAGCGACTGGAACACTTCCGTTCCCATGAAATATCAGCTCAACACAATAATTCATTAGAATCTCTCTTCCGAAGGAAACGTGGTCGTCCACCAAAGAACCGTGTAATCGAGGTAATTTAGTTGATATTAAAATATATCCAAATACCCCCACACTATCATATATTCTAAAAATATATTTCTCTTTTCTAGGTCTGGAATGATTATGTAAGTTTATTTAATAATATTATAATTAAAAAATATAATTAGTTTTTACTTGCAATTGCAGAAAAAATGAATAAGTGAAAAATTGACATTTTATTTTATTTTTGAAAATAAATTTATTAATGTTAACGATTACTATTAGGGAAGTGGAGTTGGTTCTGATACACCTCAGGCTATTTTCGCCAGTTTTAAACTTCCAAAACCAACGCCTGGCACACCTACATCAACAGCAACAGATGCATCAAATTCACCTTTGACTATCACTCCAATCGTTGAAACCAAAGCGCAATTTTTACAAAACTTGGTAAGTTTATTTTTTTGTTTTTGTTTTTTATTTAGGAGGTTTTTTATATTATATTTTATTCGATTTATTTTTAATAGGAGACGCAGGGTTTTCAATCTTACACTGGACCTTGTCCAGACCCACTTTGCTCATTATCAGAAAAGCCTCAACATTATCATTGTTCGCGGCCAAGATGTTACTTCGCTACTGACAGTGATGATTTTCTATTAGCGCACACACGAGATTTCCATGACAATATTGATATTTTAGAAGGATTTCTATTTTTTGATAGATCAGTAGACTGTAGATTTGAAAATTGCCCTAGGTAATTATTTGTTCAGCTAATACATTTGTTTTATGTATTGATTCATATAAAAAACAAATTTTCAATATGTTTTCAGTAACAAAGTGAATAGACACTTCCACTGTATAAAACCAAACTGTGGCTACTCTTTTGTGAGATATTCTCACATGGCCATCCACCAGGCTGAACATGAACAACAGCAACAAGCTGAACATCAACAGCACTCCTCACCATCACAGCCCACAGATTTAAGTGAGCATTGTTTAAACCATCATAAATTTCCACCTCTTCCTTGTTATTTACTAAATATGTTCTTTAGGTGAAAGTTGTGAGAGACTGTCTGTAAAGTCAGAAGTTTCTCACCATAGCAATAGTGAAAATAACCCCGAAGAAGCCACGATAACTGTTCGACCGACAGGTAATTCTTATATGTTGATGTGTGGCATTTTAAAAACATGAAAAACATAGTGTGCACGATATTGTGTAGTGTGTTTCTTTATTTTATTTTATTTTTTTATTTTTTCAATTTGCACCATAAAATGATGCACGATCTTCAATAACTTTCTCATTTATTGTCCATTACCATAGAAATTGCATGGTACTGTGCATTAACTTTTTACAGTTGAACCTCCACAGGCATGCTAAATTAGATTTTTTTTGTTCACAGTCAAAATTGTAATTTTATTGCCATCAAAGCTAATACTCAATGTTTTAAATGAGAGTTAATGTTTGTTGAGTTAGCCTAGTCAGTAGTGAAAAATGTGTAGTATACTTCCGATTCAATGTATATTAAAGAATTAGTATAAATTAATTTAATTGCAAAATAGTGAATGTTTCATGTATCTCTTTGTATTGTTAAAGTGGTGAAGGCGTCAGGTACTTTCTACCCACTCTGTGGTCTGTCAAATAGCAACTCTTCCCCCACACCCGCTTCAGGTGGGTCTCATTTATGAACTCTGTAAAACTGAACTAAAATCCTTTTTGTACATCCTTCGATTGAGACACTCTGTATAAACAGCATTTGCACTAACTTTCATTATCATTCAATACATTTTTGTAAATCTTTGTTACTGAAAAGTTTCATAAGTCATTAAATGCACAAAAGAGTGATCTCCTCATTTGCAAAAGTTAATTGGTGGAGGTTGATTTAGTCATTTTCTATGTTTCAAATAATTTTGTTTATTGTTTTATACAGAAAGCCTAATTAAGACGGAGCCAGGAACTATGAACAGTGAGGCGACGCTACCTGAATGGATGTCGGCTGAGAAGCACGAGCGCTACGGCCCAGAGGTAACTTGTAGTCGCCCATTTTGCAAGCTTAAAAGGAAAGAGCATTACCACTGCAATGCATGCAATCAGGTACAACATGTGAAGTACCAGAACAATCATTTGGGGACAAAAATTACACTTTTTCAAATTAAACACTCTGTTTCATAGCATGCAAGCATTTTGGATTTTAAATCTTGTTTCATTTGCGTTAATTTGGCTTCTTTTTTGTTGTTCCAGGCATTTTCTGAAATGGAAAGACTAAAGCCTCATATTGCAAAACATAATCCAGCTGCAATTCCTTCTGTTCTTGTGAAATCTGAGAATAATAATAATGAAGATAACAATCAGCCTCCTCATCATGGTAAATGATCTTTAATAAAAAATTAAATTTTACAAAAATCTCTAATACTTTTAATGCTCAGGACTAAGTATGATGCCGATGGGCCTTGATGGGCCAGACACAACCTTGATGCCGCCGCCACAGTTCCCCGGTTTCAGTGCTGCCGTCGCAGCAGCTGTCGCGAATCAGCAATTGGCTATGATTACATCTCAGGGTATCCCTTTTATGCCTCATGCCATGCCAGGACTCTATACATCTCCTTCGGGTAAGTTTTCTGCCCTACATTTTCCACTTAATCAAGTAGTATTTACAATAATTTTATTTGTTAAGGCTTGATGTTCACTGGTCATCCAGGATTTGCACCCCATCATTCAGCTCTGGTTAACAACGGTTTACTCGAATCTGCAAGAGCATCTATGCTTTGTAGTGATGCCACACCTGAATCAATTATGTCAAGAAAGTAAGTTTGGATTCGAATCCTATAATGAATGTTTCTGACGTGTTTTATTTTTCCACAGCTCGATTTCACCTCACAGAGACATTTCAGTCGAGGCAAAAAAGGCTAGAGTTCAAACAAGTATGAGGATGCTGAAGGATGAGCCGGTGCCTGAGGGTTATCTCAGATTTAGGTAAAATATAATAAATTATATTCACTAATTTCGTGGTCCACTTGTCCAATTAATATATTACAATTAATTAAAGTTTTTGAGGTTTGAGTTGAAAAATGGCAAAAAGGAAGAAAAACTCAAAAGGTGGGGTTGAGATAGAAAGTTGGTGTCCGAGTGGATCGAGGTCACGATAGCTGAAGTGGTAGAGCAGCCGCGTATCTAGCCGAAGATCGTGGTTTCGAATCCCGCTCGTGCCATTGACTTTTTTATCTCAACTAAAAACCTTAATTAATTGTAATATAATAAATTATTCTAAATTTCGAGAACCTCAGTGACAGAGTAGTATAATCTCTATAATATCTCACTCATATTTGCCACGCTTGCAGTCCTGAGTTCAAAACCCAGTGTAGCCCATACATTTTTATAATATAGTATGAAAAAATTAATTTAAAGTTGCTTGACCCCTTGTTCACAACATCCAATTTTGGACAATAAGCTGTCCTATTTGATAGGAATTACTTTGCTTTACTTATTTTAAATTTTCTATTAAAATAATATATTTGTATTGCCTAATTGACAAATTGCAAAACTCTTTTAGGTTTAATGAAGACTGTAGATACAACCACTGCAGTTACAGAGAACACCAAACCCATTTCCATTGCATGCGCCAAGATTGTGGATATAGTTTTTGCGATAAAACTAGATTTGTCCAACATACAGCGAGGCATGAAAGGTAAGTTGATATTATACTTGGATCAGTTTTAATATAAAATTATAATTTTTTTAAGTTTTTGTTGTTTGGAACAATAATTAAAAGCATTATTCACTGAGCCCTTTAATGGCTTCTTTAGCTGATGTAAGTTTTTATATTCTGAATTGTTATGTATGATTTTTGTACATAATAACTGTTCAGTTATGACTAGTTTGAACTGCAATAAAATAAATAAATAATACAGCCAGTTTCCACATCTATGCCTTCCTTCAACCTTCTTTTCTTCAGTTCACTTCTGTCTATTCATAGTAAAAAAAAACTGTCCGTAGTATGATCCCCTTAAGGTTGAAATTTTGTAAAATCCTTTCTTATCAGCTATCCATGTCATTATAAGAAATTGCTGCCCTTTAGATCCAGAGGTTTGGTCCGCATGTTGTCTGTTAGTCATGGAACTGTTTTATGTATCTAGATGAGGATGGAATTTCAAAAAAATCCTTTCTTACCAGCTATCTAAGTCATTATATATATATAAAATGCAGGGTGGGCGACCAAGACCCAAGGGGTTAAATGGCTGGGTAGACTCGTACCCCATCCCTAAAAGGTCCGGGACTTGGTCGGTTCGCGTGTCCTGCATAAACTTCTTGGACTTGTTCACAAACCCCAAGATTTTGGACCATTTTATCTCAGGGAGTGATTTGGTGATGTCCTCTCCTTCAAAGATTTCAAATCTAGACATAGCAAACCTATCACACTCTGCGAGGTAGTGCTTTGCCGTTTCTTCTTTTATTTCGCAGAAGCGGCAAAAGGGATCTGGTAGGATACCCATTACAAAGAGGTGTCTTCTCATTGGGCAGTGGCCCGTTAGCCTATCAGCCTCCTAATTCCCTTCCTTGAGATAGAGAATAGCCATTTCGATTCTGCTGGTTTAATCGCCTTAACAAACTCTTTCGATTGCCTGTGTCCGGGGGATAAATTCCACCCCCTAAGGAATTGTTTCATGCCCCAGTTATTGATACTCTCTTTCGCTGTGCTGATAGAGTGAGGTAATACCGGTTGTGGCCCAACAAACGCAGTATTAGAACCTTCTTTGGCTAGGCCATCCGCCTTTTCATTGCCATGGTGTCCTTTATGTGCTGGTATCCAGATAAGGGTCACCTTATTCTCAAACCTGAAAATGATCCTATTGATAAGACCTATAGTTTCCTCCACCAGTCGTGAGGTTGACAAATCTTTTTGTAATGCCCTAAGACTAGCCTGACTGTCAGAAAAGATTTTAATATCTTTTCTCTTAATTTTATTTTCCATAAGTGTTCTACAACACACATTGATGGCCCAGATTTCCGCCTGAAAAACGGAGGTGTTATTGCCAAGAGGGGAGGAGATGCTGATTCCTAATTTGGATATGTACATTCCTGCACCATTCCCTCTTCCTGTGACTACCTGAAAGTGCTTTTTCCCTAAAGGGGTTTTAATCTTTTTATCACTAACGCTTAATAATTGACCGTTAACCTTACTCAGTAGTTGTGAGTCGTTATAGGAATTACTGTTGAAATTTCATCCCTTTCGATCCAACGATTTGGTCTGTGTGTCATCTGTCAGTCAGTCTTGGAACTGTTTTATACGTACAGATTACACACTAATCTAAAACTCATTACTTTTACTTTTGCTTTTTGAGCAATCAAACATGGAAAATTATTCAAAAAGAAGACAAAAACTATATTGAAGTTAATACAGTTTTTTTATTGTTGTTTACAGATTAGATACTTTGATGGGTGGTGACTTCCAGCAGTATAGAGTTAACGTAGCTTGTGGTAGACAAGACTGTTCATACAAATCTAATCTTGGTGAGTCATATAATATTTTTGTTTTAATAAGTCTAATTTATAAAATTTTAAAAATAAATTGTCTGCTTTATAGGTTCGGCTCAAAACAAGTCTTCTCATTTCCACTGTCTTAAGTGTGAGTTCGTCTGTACCGACACAAACAAAGTGGTCGCTCATAGGCGGCAACATCAGAAATTAGACTCAATAATGGCAGCTGGGTTTGAAAAATTTACACCGTCGCAACCGTGCTCTTCGCCCGAGTCATGTGCCCACAATGGTAAACAGACACATTACCACTGCCTTAGTTGTCAGTATGCCGTTCTAGGACTAAGTCAAATGACAGCTCACAAATACAGACATATGTAAATAACTATTAATTACAATTTATTCCAAATTGAGAAAAACAATTATTAAAAAGACTTAACTTATTTCAAAATTTAATTCGAAACAAATTTACGGATTTGGTTTGATGACTTTTCTATTTTGAAAAACTGAACATAGTTGCTCATTGTGAATATTGAATTAATGTGCTATGTTTAAGACAAAACAATAATAAAGCACTAATAAAAGACAAAAAGAACCAAATTGTTTAGAAATAATAGGACAAATTGTAGCGTGATGTTTTCTTTAAAATGTGTATGTATTTATCATTTAAAATTATCCAAACAAAATTATTGTATTGTTTGCTAATTGTATTAGCAATATGTGATATGTATATATACGGCTATGTGCCATCAAACAGAAGGTAAATGCCTCTGTATAATTTGTATAGTTGGGAATTAGCTAGTATTTGTAATACCAATACATACATGCATATATATATAAATATATACATAGAACGATTGTTTTATAGATGTTCTTTGTAAATAGCTTTATTTGAAGTATAAAAGAAATGCTTAATTGATAGAGATTTACATATTCCTATAAAAGTATTTTTGTTCATAATCAGATATAATGAGCAATATTTGTATACGTTATGTAGAATATATTTTACATAGTCAAACTTTGTGTGAATAATACTCCAATAAATAATAATTGGAAATGTATATTTTTAGTTAACCTATAAATCATTGATTCGATAATACCTATATCTATTTTTCTAGTGACATGAGAGAGTATGTAACTGAGAAAAATATTATCTATTGTGTGGTTAAACATTTTCAATAATTTGTTTTAGAAAAAAATACGTTAAACTGAAAGTGTTATCAGACTGTTTTAAGTTAGACGTCCCTAACCGATTTATAAAATAAGTCTGAATATTGTTAATGCACTGCTTACTATTTTTGTGCTCTTATTTTTCAAAAGTTGCGAGCAATGCATTTATAATTATAGTCAGAAGAGGTTTGTGTTAAATTCAATTTAATGTTTGAAACATGCAGTAGTTCCTAAAAGTCTTGTTTGATCAATTGAGTACAGTCACTCAAATTAAACATCAAACTGGCTGTTATCACACAAAATTGTTTCTATCTGTTTTAGTATAAACTGTGAACACAGCATCACATGATAAATAAATAAGTGCTAAAAGTATTCTAAAGCTTGCATTGTGCCCTTAATATACCACATTATTTAAATTTATATTATAAAAAGTTCCAGCAATTAGAATTAATTCCATACTGTAATAATAAGTAGTGCCTTTGAAAAGGAGTATTTTTGTCTATCTGAAAAGAAGAAACATGCATTCTAGTACATGGTAGTGATTACAAACATTTTAATTTGAGTATGTGATTAAAATTTTCTTATTTTCTTGTTTCACTGTGAGATAATGTAATTGATTATGAATTTTTTATATTATATGTACATTTATGTAAGAGTGTCATGTACAATATAGTTATTTATTTATTTTGTATCACAATTTCTCTATAATAAGCATAACATAATTATAAAAGGCAGTGGGATTCTGTAAATATAATTTGTAAATCCTTGGGTTTCAAGCCTCCCGTGCCTTAAAATGGTAAAATGGTTGCAATTTTGATTCATTGCCACTATTGACCACCCTGGTATTATTTATAATTTTTTTATGTAAGTAAAATAGATTATCGATATATTTGACACTATAAACTCCACGTATGTAAATCGTTTATAGAATGATTTAGTTAAGAGCAATGAACAATAAATATTTATATATAAATATTTAATGTAATGTTTTTGCTGTGTGCCTTTAATAAATCCAAACATATAAAACCTGGCTTAAATGCCTGTTTATTTGATCTTATTATTATTTTTAAATCAATCAAGTTATTAAAAACATCTAAATGTGATTTTTCCCTAAAGCTTAGCGATTTTAAGAACAAAATACAATTAGAAATGATTATAATACATTTTTTTAAATATAAATATAATATTTTTAAAGAGTTGCCATGTCAACGCTCTAAGTTGCAGCCACTGGCACTCCTCATTATTCTATAATGCATAAATTGAACTGTGAAAAGAAAAAATTATTAATTTCAAAACTAAGTAGTGTGCTGTTTAGTATTTTCCTCTTGTTCTTGAATAGATGAATATGTTGATATGCCATGTTTCTGCCTGGATTGATACCAGCCAAAGATGCTGGAAGCCAAGTGTTTGTTTTCAATTCTTCTGCATTTGATTCAATTTGAAATAATTTTATTTATTTATTTTTTTATTTTAAATTTATTTTATTAAGAAAATTGATATAAGGTGACCGTTTATTTATTTGTTGTGCATGGTTCATTCCATTCGTGGCTAGCTTTTTCCCCTCTACGAGGTCACATCCATACACAAGAAAGTGCGCTTCCGTTAAGGGTTAAGAATAAATCTTTTATTCAATGGAATTATATTATAGTACAGAGGTTGGCAAAACATTCATTAAAATATGACATCAGAAACTAGCAGCTAAACAAGTAAACCTAGGACGAGTTAGGACTGGAATAATATCAGACTGCTGATTGGACATTGCATATTTAGGAGGCGTAAGTATAAATTTGTAGTAGCAGAAACAAGACCTTGCAGATAGTTCCAAGAAGAAGAAGAAGAAAAAACACAACATGCCCTGTGTTGGTGCCTAGCCCGACTGAGATTCCTACTTTTTTTTTGTATAACTTTATTTAAACTTTTGTACATAGTACCTTATAGTTGTGGCATAATGTTTAACGGCATCAAACAGTTCTTGGATCTTTAAGCTCAGCAGCTCCCCCCATTAATTATTTATACATGATTTAATCTAATTTAATCACAGTTAATTATAGTTAGTTATATCGGTGAGTCGCTTGCACTTGAGTCTGCGGTGTGGACGTGCAGGAGGTAGGTGGTCCAGTATTCCTTGGATTTCTGTGTTTGGGTGGGACTGGAACTTGCTAAACATCTTCCAGTAGCTGTCTCTCAGTGCTTGGTCCACTAGAGGAATGTCCAGGTCTCGGTGGAGTGTGGTATTTCGCACGTACCAGGGGGCTCCAGTTAAAATCCGTAAGGTCCTGTTTTGAAATGTCTGGATTCTCTTAATTTGGCTGTTTGACGCTAAGGCCCAAACACCAGAGTCATATGGGTCGAATGAGGGACATATATATTAGTCTTTTGTTGCTCAGACTGATAGTTGGGCTCTTAAGTAGTTGTTTGAGGTCAATTAGTCTGCATCGTGATCTCTTTAGCACATCGCTTATGTGTTGATGCCAAGTCAGCCTCGGGTCAAGAGTAACACCCAGATATTTTGTGTGTGTCGATTCACTGATATTCTTATTATTTAGTACCAGTTGTTGTTCATTGGCTTTTTTCAGATAAGTGAACTGGACTAATTTTGATTTATCTGGGTTTAGCTTGACTTTCCACTTGTCCGCCCATTCAGAGACTTGGTCAGTGACTTGTTGCAGGGTCTGTTGTACCTCTGCGCTGGTTTCCCCTGTGCTCAATGTAGCCACATCATCATCATAACATCATCAAAAAGTGCTGTTTGACTGTTCCTGGGATTTGGGATGAAAGATCACTCACGTTTACCAAATAGAAGAGAGGCCCCACAATGCTGCCCAGAAAATATGGGCTTTGGGTCAGAAATGCCATCCTGTACTTTGACACAGAAAGTTCTTTCCAACAGGTAGGAAAGGATATGTCAATAGTAGGTGTCCGGTAGGCTGTCTTTTATTTTTTCTAATAGTCCTATATGTCATACTCTGTCGAGTCTCTTCTCTATATCAAGAAATAACCCCAGCATGACTGTTTTATGTTCGAAGGCATTGAGGATGTTGTCAATTACCCTCTGGAGCTGTTGTGGGCAGGAGTGTCCTTCTCGGAAACCAAATTGATGATCTGGGATCAGTGGCTTCAGGTATTTCATGAGGGTCGGGAGAATTAGCCATTCAAAAGTTTTAGCAACAATGCTAAGTAAACTTATTGGCCAATATTTTTCCGGATTTGATTTGTCCTTTTGTGGCTTGGGGATCATCACTATGTGGGCAAGCTTCCACTTGAAGGGAAAATAAGTGGTCTTGAGCATGGCATTAAATATTTGGGTGAGCTGTACAAGGGTTTTCCTTAGTAGGTTATTCAGAAGGGGTTGGGTGATCAGGTTTGCCCCTGGCGATTTCTTAGTTGGTGTTTTTGCAATCTCTCTTTTAACCTGCGCAGGAGAGAAAAAGTCCGAAAAGGGAAAAAGTTGTAGCGGTTGTGATAGTTTTTCCCCAATTTGCTTATCGTTGTTGTTATACGTGGTTTGGTTTGGCTTAAAGTGGTCAGCTAGGCATTGTGAAAATGTTTCAGCCTTTTCTTTTGGCAGGATTTGCCATTTATTGCCACAAAGGAGAGGGGGTATGTGGGCCGAGCATTTAGTAAGCTGTCTGGTTTTTTCCACAGGGATCCATCTGTTGGTTCTACAGTCTGTAGCTCTTCAGTCATGCGCTTGCTGTTTTCTTCTTGCACTGCCTTCTTTAACTCTTCTGTTGCTTTGTTATAGCGAGTTTTATCTTCTGGATGTCTGGTGCACTCCATTGTCTTCGGGCTGCTTTTTTGGCGTTGCACAGTTGTGTTATCCGAGGTGTTGTTTTTGACTTTGATTTGTTCCTTGGTTGAGCTATATTTTGGGAACTTGCTACTATTGTTGCTGCTTGGATGTTAGCTGTCAGTTCAGCCACGGACTTGTCAATGTCTTCTGGGATTTTTAGGGGTACTCTAAGGTTGGTCAGAGCTTCTAGGGTCATTTGATAAAGTTCCCAGTTGAAAGGATAGTGGATTAGGGATGAGGGTTTTTTGACATGTTGGGGTGTGATGGAAATGTTTAGCCTACTACTACTCCTACTTTTGAGAGTAGAAAAGCTGAGGCCTGAAAGACCCACAAATCCTTAACAAAACTTTGGTATCTGATAAAAAGTCTTAGGTATAACGAAGAGCTCTAGATAATAATGGAGATTATACAACAGTCCAATATTGGTGACGATGTGTAAAGTCATACACAGGCGACTCTTTTTAACCTTAAGGTAGTTGTTTAATGCTTTGCAGTTGCATAAGATATATGTGTCTCTGATGTTACATATATGTCTCAGTTTTTAATATATTTTTTAAGTGGAAATTAATTGTACAATGGTTTATTATTTTTCTTAATTCCTGGCTGCTGAGGGATTTTTTCCTGGTGGAGATTTTGAAAAACTTTGTTTTGCACCTGGTAATTTTCATTCGGTGTGTAGTCATTTCTCTGACCAGCATTTCTTCTACTTCTGCTTTAAGCATGCGTTGGGGCATGACAATTTGCAGCTGTGGTTCAAAAGGTGTGATGCTCTTGCTTTTTCAGGGTGTCAGTTTGTTGATCGCCTTCAATCCCATGATGTCATGGCACCCATATCAGACTTACTAGATTGTGTTTTCCCAGGATTGACATGTTAGGCATTCCCAGATCAGCTTGGAGTTGAAGGTGGAGTATAAAGCATTCAGTGCAGAAAAATATGGCATCAGGTCCACCCGTACTTTTACCTAACATTATGGTGATCATTTCTTTATATATATTTTTTTTCTTTTCTTTTCCATGGAAATTTTTAATGTGTAATCAAATGAGTTAATATTGTAAAGTAGCAACTTTAGAACTTTTAAATTACCCAATTAATTAAGGTTTTAAGTTGAGATAAAAAAGTCAGTGTCACGAGCGGGATTTGAACCCACGACCTTCGGCTCGGTTCGAACCCAGCTCGTGACACTGACTCTTTTATCTCAACTTAAAACCTTAATTAATTGGATGATATTAATTGGTCAAGCGGACCATGAAAAATAGTGAATTTAAAATTACCATTTTACTCAAAATGAGCATAAAATACTCCTGTATAACAAGAATTAATATAATTTATGGGTTTGGATTAAGAATAAAGTCTATATAATCTGCATGGTTTTACTATGTAAAATTTAAAAATAAATGTTTGAAATTTTCAAGTAATTAATGGATCTCCTGCTATTACTTCGTCTTCAATTCCACATTCATTTGTACCTCTTCGGATCTTGAAAAATCCATGATCACCCCAGTTGGTGTTCCATGAATTCGCCACAAGCCAATACGGTTCATCCTGTAAGATGTTCTTTCCCCATCCGATGATCCGTACTGAATGGCCTCCCAAAGCGTTGCCGGTCGTCTGATGATAAACACCTGAAAAGAACATTGTACATATTATTTTGAAAATATTTTATTATAATGCAATCGAATTAACAAACCGGATTTGTATACAACGAAATCTTCATAAACAACAAATGCAGCTTGGACTGGGCCATTTTTCATTATCTCTCTTTGAATTTGCTTTGTATCTTTTGGTAGGTAGTAAATATTATTTACTGAAAATTGTGAACTTTTCTATAATCCTTTAATTTTATCCAATATTATAAATCAAAAAGATTAATAATTGTTTTAAAGTACCTACCTTTTCTATGGTCATTATAAAATTTGACATGATATCTTTTATTGACACAAGTTTTGACACATTTTGGAGTAGTGTGTTTCTGAAATATTAAACACTGAGGTTGTTTGCTTTGGGGGTTGTGTTGACAAGGCTTCAGTTGGTATGGTAGGCAACCCTAAAATTTAAACAATTGCACAATAAATGAATGTAAAAATTCCCCGTTTACTTCTAATTTACAGAATGCGAATGATAATCTCCTCCGGTGACAATGCCGTTCTCCTCAAAAAATTCCCACGCCTTATAATCGAGCCCACCATTGCAGCCATCACCACACTTTTCACAGCATGTCAATAAGTGATAGGACGAAAATGGTTTTGAAAAATTTCCTTTGGAAAATATGCAATAACGGTCAGAAAATGTTGTTGCAGCTGCAACAGCCTGAATGCAAAATTTTTATATTATTTATTTGCATAGTTATATTTCATTCTTAATTGTTTTTCAGTGTTTATATTAATTTTGTATTTAATAGAAAAGATTCAATGCAAAAAAAATTAATTATGTAACACTACCCAGCCTGATGCACAAGATCCTTGATCCCTAATATGAGGAATATAACTGCATTTAGGCCAATTTTCTCTTGAATCAAACTGTTCTGGTATTGGTTCATCATCTTTTATGTATCTATACTCCTTAAAACTCCTTTTCTTCGGAAATACAGGATTTAACAGCTGTTTAATATAGGCAATCGGGATGTCATCAGCAAAGTTCTGTCCAGCCTGTGTACAACGCAAAAAACTTATGTATCTACATATTAACTGTATCATGAATTACATACTGTCCAACTTGCATTGGCCGCATTCACATTTTTTATTAATAATTGAGTATTAAATAGACTGCTGGAGTGTGCTGAGACACACCCAACTAACAAACAAACCCAAACACACTGGCTCACTCCCATCTTTTAAATACCTCAATATCATTTATGTTATCATGACAGATCTTGAAATATAGATCTTGAAGTCTCCTTGTGATTAAATAAATCACTTCAAAGTTATTAAATCATTATCAATTTTATTATAAGAGCTGTATTTAAAAACTGACTAAAATGTAGCTCTCATAATTTCATTCAATGCACAATAAAATTCAATTTAATTCATAACTCTAATCAATGGAGATCATTGATATTTAAAAAGCCTAAGTAAAATACTTTTATATATTTATATCCACTGTTTTATATATTGTCGACTGATCATACTTTACGTCAATTTGTCCTTACCATCAAAAGTGCAACATTTTAATTTTCGTTTACTCTCCAAATTTGTTTAGTTAAATGTGTACCTTACTATGTAATGAGGCATCGTTAATTGTGGAACTGATCTGATAGAGGTGAACACAGCCGGTCTTTTTTTATTGTATTTCAACTAAGTTAGTTCAGTTCTAAGCAATCCCAGTTTGGTGTTGAATACCAGCCAGGAAGGTCATACAGGCTCACCATTTAAAACTGGGTCATACTGCCCTTTTTTCCTTACAATGGACTGATTTTCAATGGCTGTGGATGAAAACCTTACATGGTAAAGTATACCCTTGAAAAAGTCCCCTACATAACAGAGAAGACTGAGCCCCAGCCAAGCCATCCTCGCAGTGCCCCAACCTATGCGCTCCCTCAATTATAGTCAATTGATCCCACTAAATATCTTTTAATTTTCTGAGATGAAGTTTAGATGGAGTTAAGAACTCAATGTATTTTGACTTATCTAACATTAACCGTCTAATTTACCGATTAAAGGAGAGGGATTTTGTACTACTCGCGAGTCTTGAAAGTGCATTTGCATTTGCAGTTGAGGTATTGTCACACAACCATTTGCCAGCTGGTAGAAACCCTATCTTATGTAGATGGGATGGGAGGCTGTTGTAGTTGAGTCTCAATCTATATTAATAGTGGTAAAGAATTTTCTGCTCTTTTATGTTTAAAATCACAGTTTAGACTGTATGGTTGGTCGGGAGATAGAAAACTGGAAGCCTTTGTTTTTGATTGATATCTCATATTCTTATTGCTATTTATTTACACAATAGAGACAATGTGATATAATATCAGAGGCTAAAATATTTTTTATGGTACTTCCCTATAGTGGTGAAGCACAACAGATCTATTCAGAAGGTCACCTTTCTTAATATATCAACCCAATTGTTGAACATTGTTGCTGTGAACTTTAACCAAGAGCAGATGAACTGTGAAGTGTCTTCTAGAAGATAGCATAATATTTTTGATCTCTAGAATACTGGGATCCTCAGGAATACTTCTTTACTGATGTCAAAATATTAAGGCTATCTGAGAAAATTACCACATTGGTTGGTTTTAAATTCTTATGTACTTTATAGCTTCCTTTATAATTTATGGCTTCAGCAGTAAAAATCGTACAAAAAGGAGGGAGTTTAAACCAGATTTAGTACTCATTTGTTATATCTAGAGTTGCCCTAACCCCGTATTGGGATTTTGAGCCATCCATACAAACGACCATAGCCAAGGGGCTTTGTATGGTCTCAAAACAGCCGATAATGTATTCCTGTTATCCTTACAAATTAATTTGACCCCGAACCCAAAATTCTTGCATCTTTGCTTATTGCTTATTTCGTACTTCTTTTTTTTATAAACTTTGCTACATTACATGATAACTTTATACCACTCTGACCCTTAAATTGTACTATTACAGCAATGAGCAGATATTTTCCAATTTTTACCATTTATCTCATCTTAACATTTTTTGAGCTGAAAGCTCGCTTTCATGAAAATGGCCCTTTCTTAAGTTGGTCAATTTGGGAGAGACCACGAAAAGAGAAATAAATCTTTTACCATCCTGAGGGATCATTGGATAATGAGCACCCCATTTCTATCTCTTCATATGGTTGTTCTTAAGTTTTAGAATTTAATGGTTAAATTTTGCTACTATAATGATATTTACGATTAATTAAGGTTTTTAGTTGAGATAAAAAAGTCAATGGCATGAGTGGGATTCGAACCCACGATCTTCGGCTAGATACGCCACTGCTCTACCACTTGAGCTATCGTGACCTCGATCCACTCGGACACTAACTTCCCATCTCAACCCCACCCTTCAAATTTTCCCTTTAGTTAGTGTCCGAGAGGATCGAAGTCATGTTAGCTCAAGTGGTAGAGCAGCGGCGTATTTAGCTGAAGATCGTGGGTTCGAATCCGGCTCATGCCATTGACTTTTTTATCTCAACTAAAAACCTTAATTAATTGTAATATATTAATTGGTCAAGCGGACCACGAAATGAGTGAATATAATGATTTTTGTTAATTATAGAATGAATAACCTATCCTAATCTTTTTATTTACTGTGCACTACTTCTTTTCTGTCTCTGGGAAAAGTAATTTATGATTTTGTTATGGTAGATATTTCATATTTTACATGCACATAATCCCTCTACAAAGATGAGTGCATTTTGTATTTGACTTGATAAAGTAACATTTAACTTAACCAATATTTAGCACTGTAGCTTATAATAACAATTTTCAGTCTCCATGCAGCAGCCTACTGAAATTTATTTTTCTTGAACAAATTCTGCTATACCAGTTTTCCCTTTTGGTAGATAATTAGCATTAATTGTTTTGTCTATTATTTTCCTCGTTGTTGATTTGATTGATTTATATAAATTCAATGCCACACATATATACAAATATGTAGAGTATTGAGCTTATGACTTATTGCAACAAGCAGCGAAAATCACTTAATTTGGATTTAGGCAGTCAGAGGTCAGACCCATTCTACGGTTGAAGAAAAGATCGAAAGGATGTCAACAGTTAGGTCATTTTAGTCTCCAATACATGCAGTTTTTAATCCTACGCACACTTAACATTTGCACTCATTCTTAAATACATTATTTCCTATTTAAATACCATTCACTCAGTTAGGATGGTGGTGTTCTTTATATTCCTCAGATCACCCTTTACACTTACTATATAACTTAGTTTCTCACGCTAATTATTACGATCTTTGCATGAATCCCCTTCACACGAAGCAACTCGTTTCCTTACGAGTTATAACAAAAAATTATGTCCAGGCTCTCCCCTCCAGGCTGGAGGCAGGAAAGCGAGAACGGATAGTTCAGTCTAGCCTAGAAGAAAAACAATAAGAAAAAAATCCAGCTGAAAGCCAGTCAAATCAGATTTGTATCCACTTTGATTTTTATTAATATAAATTATTTATGTTGTGTGGCCCATTTTCATTTATGGTTTTTTGTTTGGTATTTTTCATTTTGGTTATCAAGGTTGATTATTTTAATTTTGCCCTTCAGGCCCATATTATTCCCATAGTATCTAATTATTCTTATATTGTTAATTTGTAAGCAAAGGTTCATGTTTTGTTGTTTTATATTTTTTATATAAAGTTTTTGATTCATAAGGAAATACATTTTTGTTTTAAAAGAAACAAAATAGAGGTGTCCCTCTGCAATTGTGTTCATATTTTATTTCAAATCAAAATTCCTTTGATTTTGAGGCAGATCACCGGCCTCAAGGGGGTTAATCAAACCTTAAAGACAGAATATAATCATTCCTTAAAGGACCCACAATAAATAGTGGTGGCAGAGCGTGGTTTCTTCCTGCAAAATGTGGCGTGAACACACAGGAGTGTGTTTGTGATGCGTATTGCGCTTGCTTTTTTTAACCATTTTTTAAATTTTTTTAATATTATTTGTTCAATGAGCGTGACAAAATAATTATATAAATTTAAAGGGATTAAGAACAAATTTGTTAATTGAATGCAATTCTATTTTTCCAAATTAAAATTCCTGTGACAAGTTTTTTTCTTTTACTATGCTACCACCCACCTCTATTTTGTTTCTTTTAAAACAAAAATGTATTTCATTATGAATCAAAAACGTTATATAAAAAATATAAAACAACAAAACATGAACCTTTGCTTACAAATTAACAATATAAGAATAATTAGATACTATGGGAATAATATGGGCCTGAAGGGCAAAATTAAAATAATCAACCTTGATAACCAAAATGAAAAATACCAAACAAAAAACCATAAATGAAAATGGGCCACGCAACAGAAATAATTTATATTAATAAAAATCAAAGTGGATACAAATCTGATTTGACTGGCTTTCAGCTGGATTTTTTTTTTATTGTTTTTCTTCCAATGCCTAGGCTAGACTGAACTCTCCGATCTCGCTTTCCTGCCTCCAGCATGGTGGGGAGAGCCTTGACATAATTTGTTGCTATAGAGTATAAAATGAAAATGAAAAAAATACCTCTGCCACAAACTCAAACAAATTAATTGCAAAAAGTCAAAAATCAGGACCTGATCCAAATAAATTATAACAATAACCTTCAAAAAATAAATGTATTCAGATTTAAAAAAAAACAAAAAACTAAGTGATCTATGACATACGCAACTAACTCCTTGCCATTTACAAAAAAAAGAGCAGGTGCCTTCAAACAAATTGAGAGAGAGTCCTTCCTTGTCCTTTGGTGTCTCAGCTTGCACTGCTGAGCCTGCGGTTGGGGATTAGCTTATCCTTTGAGATAAGCTCCTCGTTTTTGAAAATATTGTTATATAATAAATACATTTACTCTCAAACTACGCAAAAGAGAACTCAAAATAAGATATCTCTCAATACTGTAAATAATTACGCAGTTCTGTTTTGTCCAAAAATAGGAGACCCAAATATTCGCTGCCAAGTTCAAGCATAATTCTCATATTGGGTGGCACTCCTACATGCTCTCTACATGGAGCCAAGAAAGTCACCCTTCAATTAAGTGGGCCACATCGAGCAACCTTTCTCTACATGCTTTGACTCAAAAGTAAGTGTCTTGGTGTCAACCTTGCCTAGGCCTATCCTTAATCATGATGCTCTGAAAAGGGATTAGTTATGATTATAGTTATATGTGTGTTTCTGTAGTGACAGGTTGTTTAATAATTGTGTTGAATTCTTAAGGAGTGGTTTAGAATGAGGTAGTTTAGAAAAACACCTTTTTCATTTTTTGCTGATGTTTCAACCTTTATTCGGGTCATCTTCAGAGCTTAAGTGAATTACAAAACATATGTTGATTGGAAAAAAATACAATATAGATGTAAATGTAAACTCTGAACCAAGTATTTTATACTCACATAAAGTGTGAAATACTTAATTCAAGTATTATGTATTATGAATTAAGTGTGACACATTGAACTACTTTTCTCTACTTGCTGGACCCATTCATGGCTTTGCCCAAAAGTAAATATCCATGTCAACCTACTTTGGCCTATAGAAATTATGAATGATGGAGTGAGTGGGTGTTCAATCCTTTTTTTTAAAGATAGTTCCTACTTATAAGTGAGTTCTTACTGTGAGAAGGAACTATCTTTTAAAAAAAAGGATTACCTTGGCCTATTCTTAATCGGGTGAGGATTATTCCTCTTATACAATTCAGTTACTCCAAGGGCCACCAAGCAACCAAGCTCTTGACATGTAGAAGCTTTTCTGCTGAACCAACCCACTTGGTCTTTTGCTTGAATTGCTTAAACCATTTTTCATTTTTAATGTTGCATCTGTTTTTCTGAATATTTTGTGAATACGCCCTTGAGATTTCACTACTAGCTGTATTTGGTTGAAAAATATTTATTCTTTAAGGTTATTTATAGGGTTTGATTAATGAAGACTGCTAAATATACAAAGCTACTTCCATATTTGAAAAATTGTCGATCTATCATACAAATCATGAAATATAAATATGTAAAATGAATATTTATTTTCAGCATTATATTATGGAAAATTTTGTAAATAAATAATTACTGATGTATTAAGTGTCAAATTATTCAAACATCTGGAACACCGGCAATAACTAAACTTTCAATTTTACATTCGTTTTGCCCTCGAGCTATCTTGAAAAGGCCTTTGTCGCCCCAGTCAGTGTTCCACGAATTGGCAATTAACCAGTAAGGTAAGCCATTTTCTTTGCCCCAGCCAATTATTTTGACTCCATGTCCGGCTAAAACTTTCTCGCTTGTTTTCTGGTAAACACCTGGAATTTCAAAAGACTTAATAAAAATAATATACGATCAGTTAGGCAAAATCAAATACCTGACTTATAAACTGGAAAATCATCGTAAACTTTAAATGCAGCTTGCACTGGGCCATTTGTCAATATTTCTTTTTGAATTTCTTCCACATCTTTGATTACTTTGTATGACTTGGCTGAAAATTTATATAATTAATTAAATAGTTTGATTTTATATTAAAAATAATGTTGGGTTTAGGCCATTAGGTAAATAAATGCAGTTCTTTTGTTGGGCTTTCAAGGAAGAAAACTTCTTCATCCGTACTGTAAAATATAAATAATAATTTTAAAATGAATTAAGGTTTTTAGTTGAGATAAAAAAGTCAATGGCACGAGCGGGATTCGAACCCACGATCTTCGGCTAGATACGCCGTTGCTCCACTTGAGCTATCGTGACCTCGATCCACTCAGACACCAACTTCCCATCTCAACCGCACCTTTTGAGTTTTCCCTCCTTTTTGCCATTTTTCAAATGTCGTGTAATCAGATTGGATTCTCGGCAACAAATGAAATGGCCAAAATGGCAAAAAGGAGGGAAAACTCAAAAGGTGGGGTTGAGATGGGAAGTTGGTGTCTGAGTGGATCGAGGTCACGACAGCTCAAGTGGTAGAGCAACGGCGTATCTAGCCGAAGATTGTGGGTTCGAATCCCGCTCGTGCCATTGACTTTTTTATCTCAACTAAAAACCTTAATTAATTGTAATATATTAATTGGTCAAGTGGACCAAGAAATTAGTGAATTTAATAAATAAGAAAATTGGTTCAACGGAGGTTTCAATATTAACTATATAAGTGTANAATCCCGCTCGTGCCATTGACTTTTTTATCTCAACTAAAAACCTTAATTAATTGTAATATATTAATTGGTCAAGCGGACCACGAAATTAGTGAATTTAATAATTTTAAAGTTTATTTTGTCTTGTGTTTCCGGTTAGCCACAACAGATACAACAAATTTAAACATAAGGTGGGAGAGGTAAGCCTTCTATTTAACATACAATCATCAACTATGATGAGACAGTTTCATCTCAAATGCAAACTGACCTCAATTTAATAAAAAGGTGGTGAATGTCTGCTTGTCAAACCAAATACTGTTCACAAAGAAAATGAAGCTTATCCTGACAACACCCTCTTCTATAAAAAGATAACTTTCTCCAGGGAAGTGAAGTATCTAACAATACTAGATCAAAATGTAACTGAAGAAACATAGACAAAACAATACAAAAAGCAAAGGCTATAACAAGTATGGGACTGACAGTATAATCAACAATTTGACCTCAGATCATATATGGAACTCTTATAATTTATACAGTGATCAAAAACTGTAGAAAAGAAGACACAAGACCAATTAAAGAAACTACAAAACTTGGAATATCTTTACAGCACAGAGGCAATACATGCCCTATTTTAACATGGCACATGAAAGTTCAAACATTCTCTTAGGACAAATTGAAATTAAAACTGAACCTTAGAGTAAGCTATCAGAAAATCTTAAAGATAAAAATGAATGAAATTGCAACAAAAATATCTGAAATAATTATCAGCCCTTCCAAACATGGAGTGATGAAAAAGTCAAACGCCAAAATTTTGACCTAGCAAAACTTCTACATCAATTTTACAAACTAAGATCCATTCAATAGAACTATGTACACAAGAAATACATATTTACACATTTATACAAGATATACATATTTTCAGTGTCGAGTAGTACTGAAGGGCTTAGACGTCTCCTTCAATTCAAAGTAAGTCTGATGGGGTCTAATATACCTCCAGCTTCTGAGGAAATTAAATCAGGTAACTCTAATGTAGGCACATGAGGTGATTGAAAGCATTGAATAGGCTGATAAATTAGCAAAACCTGAAGCCAACCAAAACTGCAAACTGGCCAGCAGGCTAAAAAATGGACGGAAAAAGAAATAACTATGCACTGAATGAATTCACCTGGCCCTATACAACAAAAGAAGTTTCTTGACATCTTAACTGGAAAAAACCTACCTTACTCTCAATAAGCAAGAATTATGGAAAGTAATATATGTCAGTCATTGCCCATTAAATTATCACTTCAAAAAACGGGAAAAATTGAGATAGAAATCTGGCAATTCTATCATGAAAAAGGATTAACACCAAAACATGCCCTATGTGACTGAAAAACATTAACCTTTATTACAATTAATTTCAATGTGAAATAAAGGCTAGCAAAATTTATAATATAACAATAAAACGAAAATATTAAAAAAAAGTTTTTGTTATAAATATTGTTTCTTAAATACAGATAATTTTTCTTCAATATTTATTACATTAAAAATATTTAAAATTTTGTATTAAATTCTAGAATCTGTTTAATTATTAAAAGGTGAGAACTTCTTTTCCTCAATTTTATTTTCTGCATTTTTTGGGAGGCAAAGCAGAAATGCATCAACTTGTTTTTGTCTAGTTCACCATGGACCAAAAAGTTTTAATCTAACTCTCCAAGTGATGCAAATAGGGGCTTAATTAACTATTTTAAATAGCAAGATACTCATCAATGTACATTTTTTGATGATGAGTCCAATGATTTAAATAGTTTTTCATTTGGATCAACCGGTCTCAAGTACCACCACATCCTGGCAATCGATGTTATGTGAGAAAATTGTTGCAAAGTTTTAAAACATTTCTTAAATTTTTCAGCAGAATGAGCAATTATTGTTTTATCAATTAAACTAATAAATAAATTGGTTCTTGGTTGAAGAAGGTGAAGAAGATTTCGCTTTTCGAAAAACAATGGTTAGAAATAGGTTTTTGCAAATAACTTGAGAATGGTTGTTGTAAACTAAAAATTTTCTGCATCGTTGAAATCAGTGTCAAAAACCCTTTCAAAAAATATACGTTGATGATTATGTAGCCATTTAAAAAAGTTAAGCTCATATCTTGGAGAGTTAGATGAAAACTTTTCATGGCTCATGAGAAACAAGACCAAAAATAAAAGTTCACATATCTCAGGGTTTTTCCCAAAAGTTTTCTTTTTTTAAATAAATAATTTACCTTTTGCATAGTCTCCACTCAGTGCCTTAGGTTTCTTGTAATTCAGATTAGTGCAGTTTCGGCAAGGTGGCGTTTTTGCTCTGTGGAGTAAATCACATTTTTGTCTTGTTCCTTCAACATAATGTCGGCATGGTTTGATTTCATAAGGTCGACACCCCTGATGAAAAATAAAAGATTAAATTTTTAAACAATAATTACTATAATGTGTAGAGTAAATTTCTTACCACGTGGGAATGATAATCACCTCCAGTTCTTACCCCTTTCTTACTCAAATATTGCCAAGCCTTGAGTGGATTTCCACCATTGCAGCCATTGCCGCAGAAGCTGCAACAAGACAACAAGTCAGCAGAAGAAAGAGGATGGTTCATTTTTCCTTTGGTTGCGATGCAAAATCTATCTGACAAAACTGAAGCTGCTGATACTGCCTGAGATCATTGCAATAAATACAAAATTAAACGTTAAATAATAACTAGACACAAAAAGATGATTTAATTGAAAAACTTGCCCAACATGATCCGCAATTTCCCTGATCTCGAATGTGACCGATTGAACGGCAATTTTGCCATTTTTCCCTCGCATCAAAATGCTCAGGTATTTTTGAACTAGAAATGTTCAACCTTTCTTTTGTGTATATAAGTCCATTTGTCTCAAACGTTGCTCCTAACATATTTTTAATGTATGAAAGATAAACTTTTTTGGGAAAATTGTGCCCAGCCTAAAAAATAAAAAAATAGACAAAATGTTATTATTTAAAAAATATACAACCTACATAAAGAATTCAATATTTCATATATTAATGCATGTAAAATCAAATATCAAATTTATTATTTTAGCTAAATATTAAGCCAAAATAATTATTTTTCTAAATAAAAAAACAAACTAAATTTTACTCACTGTCCATGATCTATTTGCTGAGTTAACATTTTCAATTATGTTTTCTGCATTGTACAACTCAATTATGCTCGATTTGGTGTGTGCTAAAAGCAACCCAAAAAAAAGAAACCCAATTGACCTCATATTTCATTGATTTGTGCAACTGTTCAAGGTTTATTTATATACCAAATTTTCAATTGGATAGCAAACTCTTTAATTATCTCAAGCAATAATTGTTTTATTTCTTTTTTGTAATTACAGAATAAACACTAAAAGGCCAATTAATCTTTAGGAGTTTTGTTAGAAGTATATTATTTGGTCATCTTTATCTTTTTACTATGATAACTTCCTTGCTGTTAAAATGAAGATCACTTAAGAAAAGAATTTTTTTTTGTGTGGTGATTAGTGACTGTTAATCGATATTTATTTAGAAATCGTGAGATGCGGTCTGGTGTGACGTAGGTTTCAGAAAAACATTTTCTTTATCGTGCCAACACAACTAACTGGCCAACACAGCGAGGATAGCAGACTAGGGTATCAGTAACACCAAATTACTTGCAATGCCCCCATATTCTTCATTGATCACCCACAGGCCATGATTTAATGCTTAAATTTTCACAAAATAAAAAATATATTCATAAATAAAACATAAATGTTCACAAAATTCTACTTTTGTTTTGCAGGATTAGGACTTAATTTCATTTTTTTTTTTCAGTGTCCTTTCAGTGAATTTAAGATAATAAAAACCTAATGCAATAAAATTTTACCTTAAATAAGACCTTTTGTATGATCTATTGTCGTAAAATTGAAGTTAAGGATAAAAGCCGAGTTCAAGATTTTGGGAGAAAGAAGGCAAGGGATCAGTGCGCAGGAGGTGATCGCTGGAAGATGTGGAAGATGTGTCTGTTCTTCTTCTTTTTTTCCTTTTTCTTTTGTTAACGGTTTTGGTGTTGGTCCTTACCCAACAGTTCTGTGGTGCTCAATGTATAATTCTTTCTCTAAATAAATTGTCTTCCCAATACCCTCCCATTACCATGTATCTGTCCCTTCCACATGTCCCTTCTCTTCTTCACTTAGCTACCACCTACATAGGTTGCAGCCATGGTCAGGAAGGCGTAACATCTCGTTATTCATGGCAATATGTGCACAGACTTGTTTCTGCTTCTTCAAGTTTGTAGATATGCCTCCAGAATCTATCACTATATCTAGTCCTAACACGTCCTGAGTTTAGTAGTTCTGGTGTTAATATCTGAAACGGTCCAGTAAAGAACCTTTTTGCATGCTTCTGGAATACAATAGAGCAGCCACATGTGGCTCTTTGAAGGATTATTTGTGGCTCTCCATAAATGTACCCCTTTACCCTTTTCATTTTTGTGCTATTACATTTTTAAAAATTATTATCGTTCCGTATGTGTTTCAAAATGTCTTTTAAATTACTGACAACAAATATGAAAGACTAAGTGCAACATTGTAACAAATTTCATTTCCGTTTTTTGTACCAGAATCGAAGTATCCTGAATTAAAAAAGGCTGCTTGTCGAATTATTTCATATTCGGAACAACTTACTTATGTGAATCATTTTATTCCACTTTAAAATTCGTGAAATCCAAACACCGATCAGTATTAACGAACCAGCATCTCAAAGAATTACTGAGAAGTGCTGTCACCAATTATTCACCAAATTTTAAAGAATTATCAAGAGAAGTAAAATAAATGTGTTTAATTTTTAATATTTAAATTCAATACACATAGTTTGTACTTTTATTTATGTTTTCAATAAATATAATTTCTGTAAAAAAAAATTTTAATACCTTTTTTGCATACATTTTAAATACGTATTTAATTGCGGCTCGCGAAAAATTTCAAATTTTGAAAAATGGCTTGGACTATCAAGGAGCTTGGCCACCCCTGCAATAGAGTGTAATATCCCTTATTCCAGTTATTCCTAAATATTGTAATTTAAAAACTCTCCTTGTTCCGACTTCCCAAGATAAGAACTTTACTGACACCCTTCTCTCCCACCTTTGCTAAATCCACTCCTAGACCTCCCACCAGGGTATATAATAGGAATGATGGTAATACTTGAGGAGTCTGTTTCCCGTAAGCCCTCCACTCCTGTAGTTATTAACTTTGAATACAGAAGTTAATTTTTCCTCTGCCCGTATAGTTCTACTTCTACCCCAGTCTCCACCCCATAATCCTGGTGTTGGTTATCACAAGAGGTCTTATTCTTTATTATTAATCACATTACAGGAATATCCTAACTAGTGAAGTCAATTACGAAATATATATTATACTAATCAAGATTATTTACTTTGAAAATATTTACTAATATCCCTTTTAAGCAAATAAAAAGATCCAAAGATTTCTAAATTACACTTTTTACAAATTTCATTAAAACTCTGAAGATGAGAGAGTTCCAAACTTAGCATACACAGTCTGGTGAAAATTCAGGTAAACAGTTGATCGTTCCTCTGAGCATGCAAAGGAACAGAGAAGTTAATATTTTCAGGTAACTATGGACAATGAGAATAGACCATTCAGCAGTTTACAAAAAACATAGACCCAACATAATGGATTGATCTTCTGATGAAAATGACTTTCGAGTTGTCCCTCTGCCCATTGTGCCCTGGTTAAAGTGTAATTTTATTGTACACAATGCTATTACATGGCCGTAAATGTAAAGTTGAAAAAATAAAATAAATAAATGATAGACTTGAATAAATTCTTTTAATCTAGATTAGCATATAAAGCTTAAAAAAACAATAATGAATTTATTATAATACAACAAATAATAATAATTTCATCAATTTTTAACATTTATACATCTGGTATACCACCATACACATTCGATTCGATTCCACACTCATTTAGCCCTCTTAGTATTTTGAAGAGGCCTTTGTCGCCCCAGTTTGTGTTCCATGAGTTGGCGACAAGCCAGTACGGAGTTCCGTTTTCCGTTCCCCAACCAAGAAGCCTTATAGCATGATCTGAAAGTAATTTCCCAGATGTATGCTGATAAACACCACTCTTGTAGTATGGAAAATCAGAGTATATCTTGATCGAGGCACCCAGAGGTCCATTTGTCATTAATTCTTTCTGAATTTCTTTTACGTCTGTGCTTAGAGAGAAAATTGTTTTCACTGCAAAAGAACATAAATTAGGGGAAATCTTTATAATAAATTTTTGTTTATTGTGTTACATTTATGGCGGTCATTTTTGAAATCGGTTTTATATTCAGAGTTTAAACATGTCTTTTGGCATTCATCTGTTTCAAATTCTGGTAAAGTTGCACAATCGGGCCTTGTTCCTTTTGTATAGTGATCGCATTCTGGAACTTGGTAAGGTTGGCAACCCTTCAACAAAATTAAAATCATTATTTCAACTTATACTTTTTTTATTTTAAATATTAAATTAGATGAGGTCTGGTGTGACGTAGGTTTAGAAAAACATTTTCTTTATTGTGCCAACGTTTCGATCTTTATTGAGATCATCTTCAGAGCTTAAAGTGTTTGTTTCTGCATAGATGTGTCATTACTGTGTGTCATGTTGAGAGGAGCAATCTCAACACGACACACAGTAATGATACACTACCCAGAAAACAAACACTTTGAGCTCTGAAAATGATCTCAATAAAGATCGAAACGTTGGCATGATAAAGAAAATGTTTTTCTAAACCTATGTCACACCAAACTGCATCTTACTATCTCCAAATAAATCATCAATTAATAGTCACTAAATACCACACATATTAAATCATATTTCACTTACAACTGAACTGTTGTAATCACCCCCCGTGACCAAACCATGGTCTTTCATATAATCCCATGTTGGATAAGGCATTCCTCCAGAACATCCGTAGCCACAAAGAGGGCAACAAGTTAAAAGGTTGTGAGAAGAAAGTGGAAGTGTAAATTTTCCACCTGAAAATATGCACAGTCTATCTGAAAAAACTGCAGCAGTTGATACAGCCTGTGAAATAAATTTGATCAAATGCTGATTTCTATTGTATATGTACAAATTAGTTGAATTATATTGCACGGTGAAATTACCCAGCAAGATCCACATGATCCTTGGTCATGAATATGGCTTATGGTTGGACAATTCGGCCACTTTTTACGAGCATCGAATTCATTTGGAAGTTCATCGTCACTTGTTACACGTTTGTTCAATTGCAATAGGATTTTAGGCTCATCTGATGGTATGACACCAAGAAGTTTTTTGATGTACCTTAATGGTGTATCCTTAGCAAAGTTATGCCCAGCCTTAAAATGAAATTAAACATTAATTTAGTTATATTATATTAATTATATTAAAATTGTATAATCTTCAAATTGTCAACAATTAAACTTTATATAAATGCACATTTCAAAAAACTGAAATTTTAAAAAATTCATACCTTCCAGGTTGTGTTGGCAGAGTTGACTTCATTTATAATTGCTTCAGCGTTAAACAGTTCGACAGTTTTTGCATTCACTGCACATATTAAAAACCCAAATAATAGAAGAAGATTCATTCTAAAACTGAAAATTTTATAAACCTATTTTGTCTGTTCAAGAATGCATATTGAATTTCTTACATGTTTAAAATCTTTCCTGTTTGAAATCTTACACTGAATTACCATATTTCAGTTGGTGCTATTTATTTTAAACCAATCCTACGGTACTTCAGATAGCTAATCATTGAGACAGCCGAAAATGAGGAAATTTTTAATTTTGTCCATTGATTAAAATTGTGCACTTCAGAAAATTTGCAACTTATCTTATGACAATTTTTTTGCCTAAAATAAAACAAGTAATCTTTAATGAATTAATTAAAATATAAATTATCAATACTTGATAAGATACATTTTGATAACTGTAACACATATGTACAGAATTAAGCTTATGACTTCATGAATCACCTACTCTGGGTTTTGGTCTGGGTTAGACCTCGGTTCTACCTGTCCTCCTGCTGTTGAACTTTTTGCTCTAAAGCTGTCTACAGCTAGGTCATTTACTTATTTGTGTATACATAACATTATGCTACAAATTGTCAATATAATTTTTCCTTATAATAAATTATTACAAATCTTAATAATATATCTTACAAGTTCTATAAAACAATCTAATTTATACAAATACATATTTTTAATTCATTTCTTGGTGCGATGGTAACCTATATGAAATGCTATGAAACTTTCTACAGGGTTAATTATTCAGAAATTGTGATGTATAGTCATGTATAGAGTGCCGACACGCACGACACAACACGCAAGAATGGCACAATTACACAGAAGACAAACACTTTGAGCCCTGAAGATGATCTCAATAAAGATCGAAACGTTGGCACGATAAAGAAAATATTTTTCTGAAACCTACATCACACCAGACCACATCTCACGATTTCTGAATAATTATCAATTAACGGCCACTAATAACCACACATTTCTACAGGGTGTTAAGCGTGGCCTGTGGAAATTCTTCTACAACATATGGGATATGAGCTCCTATACTGACTAGTGGCATGAAGTGCTTTCATTCCTATCCTTAAGGAAGGCAGGGACCTGAATCGAGCATGAGTTACAGGCCGATATCCCTGGCAACCTGCCTGTGCAAACTCCTGGAGTCCATGATAAACAGTCATTTGATCGGTTTTCTTGAAATGAAAAGGGTTTACAGCCAGAATCAGGTGATATTTTGTAGACATCGTTCTAAGGTTGATAATGCTGGCCTCCTAGATAATGACATTCAGAATACGTTTCAGAATAGAGAACTCACTGGTGATACTTTGGAAATGTCAGAACATTGGAATCAGAGGCAAATTACCTTGGTTCTTCGACTTTCCTGAGGAAGCTAAGGTTCTGTGTCATACTGGGGTCCATGTTCTCCAGGGGCTTTGTTCAGTAGAACAGAGCCCCTCAGGGTTCAGTGATAAGCGCTACATTTTTCTCAATTGCATTGAATGGTAACACTGATCGTGTCCTCTGAGCAATCCGATGACTACTATATGTTGACGACCTCTGCTTTTACCTTTTGCAAATAGACATGGCAGAGGTCAGAGAAAATGATTCAGTTAGCAATGAACATTGATGCTAGAAGAGCCAAGGAAATCAGATTTCCCTTCTTTGTATTGAAATCCGCATGTGCACACTTTTCCAGGATGAGGAGGGCCCACTGCCTTCTGCATATCTGCTTGACGGGTGCCTCAATAAGGTCAGTCACCAAGGTTTTTCAGTCTCATGTTTGATCAAAAGTTAAGATGACAGCCACCCATTGATTTAGTCGAGGAGAAGGGAAGAAAAGTTATAACACTTTTGAAGTTTGTCAGTCACTTCAGGTGGGGACATGGAGACCCATGGCTTGCAGCTGTGCTTGACATTATGCTATGGTTCAGTGGCCTATATTTCAGATTGAAAAATGTGACTGCAGAGGCTCAATAGGCTCTACTATCAGGCCTTCAAGCAGTCTCCTGTGCATTAGAACAAGCTCTTTGGCCAATCTAGGCTGCGAGTTGGGAGTGCTACTGCCCGAACTTGGGAGATATATCTACCAATTATCCTCAGTTATGCAGCAGAGTAACGCAGACCTTCTTTCTGGTGTGATCCTTGAATGCCAGTATGGCAGAATGTACGAGGAACTTTAGATCCAGATACATCCCTTAGGAATTTGGTGAAGTCTTGGGGAGGGGAGGGATTTTTCCCCCAAGAGTAAGATTTTTTTTTTCAAAATATTCATTAACAATATTTCTCCTTGTTTTTATTAAGTTAATTTGCTCTTTTTGCTGATGACCTGAAGGTCTATGCCACTATAACTTCCACTCATGTCGCTGAGCTTCTGCAATAATCGTGTTGAATGGTGTTCATGCAATGGCTTGTAACTAAATGTAAATAAGGATAAGGTGGTTAGTTATAATCTTGGGCAAAGTGTCTTCTACAATTATGCCATGCAAGGCATCTGATTTAACAAACAGACTACCATTAAAGACCTTGGAATCACCTAATCTACCAACCTGATATTAACTTGCATTGCTCTTAAATAGAACTATAAAAAATTTTAATGGTGCAGAAATGATGATTATACTGCTTAAGGCTAAAGTCATTCCCATTTTATATATTACGCAGGGTGGGCGACCAAGACCCGAGGGGTAAATACCTAGGTAGACTCATACCCCATCCCTAAAAGGTCCGGGACTTGGTCGGCTCACGAGTCCTGCATAAACCTCTTGGACCTGTTCACAAACCCCAAGATTTTGAACCATTTTATCTTGTTTTGTAATGACTTAAGACTGGCCTGATTGTCGGGAAAAAATCTAATATCTTTTCCCTTAATCTTGTTATCCATGAGTATTCTGCAGCAAACATTGATAGCCCAGACCTCTGCCTGAAAGACTGAGGTGTTATTACCAAGAGGGGAGGAGATGAAATCATTCCCATTTTAGAATTCTGTTTAGTTGTTTGGTCACCAGATCAGAAAATACTAAGTAATTCAGTATAAAATGTACAGCAATGATTTATTCGCACTCTCTGGTTCAAAATTAACAGAATATACTCTACATACACCAAATGAACTTATTATGGAAGAACCACTAAACATAAGATAAAATAATGACCTGATATTTCCTTACAAACTCTTAAATAATATTATTGACTGTCCACAATTAATCAATTTGCTAAATTTCCATTTCCACAGTATAATACCAGACAAAAATATTATTTTCAAAATCTAATTATAATGTAAATTATTTAAAATTTAGTCCAATTCCTTGACTCATGGAAACGAGCTACAAATTTCCTTTACATTGTGACACTTTGTACCTTTACTTAAATTGGTTAAAGCTTTTTTTTTTAAATATTGATCATGGCAATTGAATTTGATTTGTTTATATATTTTTGTTGTTTCATTACAGTTGTATCATTCCTTGTCCCTTCTGTTATATTTGTTTTTACATTTCTGTTGTCTTCTTTAAATGTTTATCATTCCTTGTCACTTCCTTTATATTTGTTTATACATTTATACATTTCTGTTGCCTTTAAATTTTATCATTCCTTCTCACTTCTTTTATATTTTTACCCACATGTGCATTATGACACAATACTAACAATATTTTATTTGTGTTTGTCATGTTAGATATGTCCATATTTTTAATTATGTTTATATTTTTATTATTATTTATTTTTCAATTGTTCATTTCTACTTGTGTATTAAAGAACTTGAAACTGGGTATATTTACCCACATAAATAAATAAATTTGATGACAGTAATGTTGAAAAAATGAAATAAATAAATGACAACTAAATTGTTTTAATCTGTATTAGTATATTATGCATAAAGCAATATTAAAAAAATATATAAATAGTAACAATTTCAATGGTGTAGAGTTCAAATCTTCTTTAAGGTCTTAACTAGGTGAAAGAAGTTTTGAACTCTACATTGATTATCTGCAGATCGATCTACAAACATAATTTCAATGGTTTTTAACAGTGTTTATACATATGGTTCGCCACCTTGCACACTTGATTCAATTTTACACTCATTTTGCCCTCTTAGTATTTTGAAGAGACCTTTGTCACCCCAGTTTGTGTTCCATGAGTTGGCAACAAGCCAGTACGGAATTCCGTTTTCCGTTCCCCAACCAAGAAGCCTAACGGCATGGTTTCCAAGATATTTCCCAGATATATGCTGATAAACGCCACTCTTGTAGTACGGAAAATCAGAGTATATTTTGAACATGGAACTCACGGGCCCATTTGTCATTAACTCCTTCTGAATTTCTTTTACGTCTGAGCTAACAGAGTAAATTGTTTTCACTGGAAAAGAACATAGATTAGAGGAAATCTTTTAATTAATTATTTTCCTTGTGTTACTTTTATGGCGGTCGTTTTTTAAATTGGTTTTGTACTCTGAGTTTAAACATGTCATTTGGCATGGAGGTGTCTGGAAATCAGGTAAAGTTGCACAATCAGGCCTTTTTCCTTTTGTATAGTGATCGCATTCTGGAACTTCGTAAGGTTGACAACCCTTCAACAAAATTAAAACCATTATTCTTATAATATTAATTCTTATCTTATATATTTTAATTTTAAATGTTAAATTATATTTCACTTACAACTGAACTGTTATAACCACCCCCAGTGACCAAACCATTGTTCTTGAAATAATCCCATGCTGGAAAAGGTGTTCCTCCGTCACACCCATAGCCACAATCAGTGCAACAAGTTAAAAGGTTGTGAGAAGAAAGTGGAAGTGTAAATTTTCCACCAGAAAATATGCAGAGTCTGTCTGAAAAAACTGCAGCAGTTGATATAGCCTGTGAAATAAATTTGATCAAATGCTGATTTCTATTGTATATGTACAAATTAGTTGAATTCTATTGCACAGTAAAATTACCCAGCAAGATCCGCATGATCCTTGGTCATGAATATGGCTTACGGTTGGACAATTCGGCCACTTTTTACGAGCATCGAATTCATTTGGAAGTTCATCGTCGCTTGTTACACGTTTGTTCAATTGCAATAGGATTTTAGGCTCGCCTGATGGTACGACACCAAGAAGTTTTTTGATGTACCTTAATGGTGTATCCTTAGCAAAATTATGCCCTGCCTTAATATGAAATAAAAAATTAATTGACTCAGTAAAATAGACTCCACGGTAGAGTGTTCAATTCCCACCATCACTCCGGGAATTTTTGTCCTGTCACCCTCCCCAAAAAATGAGATATAATACATACATTCTGGCTAATATGTAAAGCATGAAGCCTCTAAAAATTAATTAAACACCAAAGACTTTTTAATATTATTTGCATTACTATTACTATTTTTTTTGTTTTTTTAATTTGCATAACTTCTTACCATATTAATAGAATATGTAGTATTGAGCAAAAACCAAAAGTAAGGGACCAAATGGATATTGGTCTGTTTAAAAAAAGAAACAGAAATAAATTTTATATGTAATTTAAAATGGGAGTTTTGCATACATTTGCCTTCCAAATTAAGAATTTTAAAAAGAAAAATTAAAGCTTGGATGGCAATAGGATAATATCCATCATATAAATATCCATAAGGGATCACTTACTTTTGTTATTGCTGTGATTTTTACAAAAATTTTAAATTAATATTTATTTATAATATTTATTAAAGGCTCAACCTTTCGAGTGATTTACAGGAGTTACTGGGTCCCCAGTGTTTCTTTCGAAGAGCACTTTTCAGCTTTCTCAAATTTATTGGAATTTATAATGAGATTTAGGCCTTTTCCCAAATTGTTATACCATTGAATGCCTGCTAATGAATGACCATTGAATGAGAGTTGCAAGATTTCTTTTTTCAGAAGTTTTTGAGGCTGCTGGAGCGGAAAAATGAAATGGAAGAAAATACAAATTGCGGGGTAATGAACTGCAATGCTTAAAATCGCAATTTAAATAAGAAAAATAGCTCCCTCAAAAAAAAAAAAAAAAAAAAAAGTGTTATTGGTGTTATTGTGTTTTGTTTCTTATCATTGTTATGTAGAATTAGTTTATGTATCATATTTGAATGGAAGAATAAAAGGATAAGGATGAGCCTATACTCATGCTGTGACTGTTGCTAGTCTGACTCCATTATTATTATTATTATTATTAGCCATACAAGCCTATGGGAAATGTTAAAAATTATGGAAGAAAAATTCACAATTCTAATCAAAAAAGAAACAGAAATAAATTTTGTATGTAATTTAAAATGGGAGTTTTGCATAGAATTTTAAAAAGAAAAATTAAAGCTTGGATGTCAATAGGATAAATTAGTTTACGAGTGAATGTTTCGAGTCAGAGCTTTATAGCACTCAGAAGAGATATAGCTAACCTAAGATAGAAGGTTTGGATGTTAGGGCATGAAATGACCTTAGCCGTTAAAATGCCCTNATCGTTAGATGAGGTCTGGTGTGACGTAGGTTTAGAAAAACATTTTCTTTATTGTGCCAACGTTTCGATCTTTATTGAGATCATCTTCAGAGCTTAAAGTGTTTGTTTCTGCATAGATGTGTCATTACTGTGTGTCATGTTGAGAGGAGCAATCTCAACACGACACACAGTAATGATACACTACCCAGAAAACAAACACTTTGAGCTCTGAAAATGATCTCAATAAAGATCGAAACGTTGGCATGATAAAGAAAATGTTTTTCTAAACCTATGTCACACCAAACTGCATCTTACTATCTCCAAATAAATCATCAATTAATAGTCACTAAATACCACACATATTAAATCATATTTCACTTACAACTGAACTGTTGTAATCACCCCCCGTGACCAAACCATGGTCTTTCATATAATCCCATGTTGGATAAGGCATTCCTCCAGAACATCCGTAGCCACAAAGAGGGCAACAAGTTAAAAGGTTGTGAGAAGAAAGTGGAAGTGTAAATTTTCCACCTGAAAATATGCACAGTCTATCTGAAAAAACTGCAGCAGTTGATACAGCCTGTGAAATAAATTTGATCAAATGCTGATTTCTATTGTATATGTACAAATTAGTTGAATTATATTGCACGGTGAAATTACCCAGCAAGATCCACATGATCCTTGGTCATGAATATGGCTTATGGTTGGACAATTCGGCCACTTTTTACGAGCATCGAATTCATTTGGAAGTTCATCGTCACTTGTTACACGTTTGTTCAATTGCAATAGGATTTTAGGCTCATCTGATGGTATGACACCAAGAAGTTTTTTGATGTACCTTAATGGTGTATCCTTAGCAAAGTTATGCCCAGCCTTAAAATGAAATTAAACATTAATTTAGTTATATTATATTAATTATATTAAAATTGTATAATCTTCAAATGGTCAACAATTAAACTTTATATACATGCACATTTCAAAAAATGTAATTTAAAAAATACATACCTTCCAGGTTGTGTTGGCAGAGTTGATTTCATTTATAATTGCTTCAGCGTTAAACAGTCCGACAGTTTTTGCATTCACTGCACATATTAAAAGCCCAAATAACAGAAGACAATTCATTCTAAAATTGAAAATTGACCATTTAATATCATTTGGGTTAATTTTTTTTTCCAAAATTTGCATAACTTCTGACCATATTAATAGAATAGTACTGGTTAAAAACCCTTTGGTTGGGACTAATTGGTCAGATCGTAGTACAAGCAAAATCTTATGACTTTAGAGTGTTAGTAACTTTCATTATTGTTGAAGATTTTAAATTAATTTTTAAAATAAATATACCATTATTGGTGGTTTTATAAGTTTATTTATGATTAATTATAACTATGGCTGATGTTTCCTGGACTGCAGCAATTAACATAGGTGGGGTTGAGGAAAAAAGAACACAACCATTCTTCCAGAGGGAAAGAGAGTGTAACTATGCACTTTTTATCTATTACACACTATTAGAAATTGCTATGATAGTTTATAACTGTAACATGTATATATCTTAATTGAAAGTATATATATTTCAAAAAAATTGAAATAAAAAAAATTAATACCTTCCAGGTTGAGTTTGTAGAGTTGACAGCATGCAATTGTTGCATTCAAAAGTTCAAAACTGAAAATTTTTTAAAAACATATCCTACTTCAGATAGATAATCTGAGGGAAAGTCGAACGTTACATCATTTTTATTTCTGTTCGATAATTAAAATGTTGCAATATGAGTTTGGCAATAAGTGCTCATGGAGTTAAGAGTCAACAAATGAGGAAACTTCCTGGTGTAACAAATACTAATTAGAGGAAAGCTGGACATTTAAAATTCACGGTGAAACAAAAGAGGCTTAAAAAAAGCAAGAAGGATGCTACAGTGAAGAGTCAATGCAAGTTGAAAGAATTTTACTTAGTAAAATTATTGGGAAATCTAGCCAGACAAGTCAGAGAGCATTTTACCACTGATCTTACTAAAATTGAAGGGTCATTTCTTGGCTCATGAAAAATATAGGCATGCCACCTTTAATTAAGAGAGACACATTGAACAACCTTTCATACTAGACACATGCACAGTTTTTTGCCCACAAGAAAGTACATGTATGTCAACCTTGTATGGCCTATTCTTAATCAGGTGACGATTCCTCGTCTGAAGATCATCTATCAAGTGTGCTCTTGATACTTAGGAGAAAGAATTGACTGTTTTCTTCCCAATTGGCCTTATCCCTGATTTTTGAAAATGATAATATTAAAATGTAATTTTAATTATATTGGAGATAATTAATTCCAATAACTTATTTAAGCCAATTAACAAATCCATTATTATATACCTTACATTTTCTAGTTGAATTTATTCATGGAGGTAAGTTGAAAATTATGTTTTAATGCTAATAGGGTTCATTTTTAAAGTATGTTAATTGTAATGTTATATTCTATTTTAACATAATTGCTTGATCTAAGGTTGCTTATTTTCACATGTTTTTTTGTGAATTAAATTCTATTAGACAAGAACAAACACCGAAAATGCCTATGGTTTTATCACAATGATTCATAATAAAATACTTTTACCATAATTTTATATGAATATAGAAAAGGTTTCCTAGACTATGAATTTCAAATGAACTCAACAACACAATGCTGTATTAATTTTATGCTGTTTTTTGTAAGAGGTCTTTTGCTGTGTTGTAGCATTATGGTTCAATTTGGAATGCTGTTCGTATCCATTCATGCTATTTTTTTATTTATATATTTTTTTACAATAATTAACAGCCTTTTACATAAAACAAAAAGTAAAAAACCTGTTAGGTTTCTAATACAAACTAACATATAAAACTAAACATAAGTTAAACACAAATAATAATTGAACTATATTATAATAAATAAAAGTGCAAACAAAATGAATAAATGAGACAAACAATATTAAAAACAAGAATTTAAAAAATCGATTATACCTAGATCAGTAATGATTGAGGACTTTTCCAATGTCTGGTTATTTAATTTATAGTTTGTTGGGTTAAGGTTTTTTTGAGCAAGAGAAACTAATAAATGAACGCTTATTTACAATGATTTTTATGTCATTGTCAGCATACCAGACTAAAATGTCTTAAATTTTCTTGAAGTACATGTATGTCATTAATAGTTTTAATTGAGTGATAGATTTTCAATTAGATCTGCGAGGGGTACAAAAATTGACATCATAAAAAAATCTGCAAGATCATTTAGTTAAATGACAAAAAAAAGAAATGACCAAGGTCCGATTCTTGAGGTTCAGCAGTGGTAGCTTCAAATTGTTTTGAAAATTGAGTATGAATTGTTTATGGAGACTGATAAATATCTATCAGCTTTGAATCCATGACAGGAGAGGTTGCCATATTCCATAAAACATGAATTTAGAGACCAGACTTGTTACATTAACTAAATCAAAAGCAATGTCCATGTCTGTGTAAACTGTGCCAACTTGAGTTTTCACTTCTAAGTATACAAAAGTCAGAGTAAACTACTAAGTTAGTCTCAGTGGAATGCCCTTTGGTAAATCCATGTCGTTGAGAAATGTATTGTTGAAAAATGGGGAAATAAAATCATGAACTAGGTAATTTTCAATATTAGATTTGTCTTTGTTTTTATAAATAGGAATTCCCGGCAGCTAGTGAGATGATAAATAGACGAACCTTCAGCTTAAGTTTTGAAAACTTGGGAATATTATCTGGCCCAATAGAAAATTTAAATTCTACATTTTTTACTTTTTCGAAGACTGCACCTTCAGATAAGAGTATACTGGAAAGATTTATAATCAAAATTATTATTTAGAAGAAAAAAAATTTAAAATTAAACCTTAACTAAAACTGGTTCAAAATAGTAATAAGAATAATTAAATCAATTTTTTTTAATGAAGATGTAAGACGAATAAAAAATATTTGTAATGATAAAAGATTGCTTTTTCTTTTTTCCACATTTGAATAATAGGAATTTTCCTCTTTAGCATTTAGACTTTTCTCTATTGTACCAATCTCTGAAAATGGATTTCCTGGAAGATTTCCATTTCTTTCTTAGTAGAAAGTTTATATGTTATCAAGATTTATTAAATTTTAGGTATCTAGATTTACTATGGCTCAAAAAACTGATCTCTTTCATCTGCCTATCTTTCCTGGATTGGTCTGTCAGACACGTATCAGCATTTTGCCGTCTTTAGTGAATGTGTGATTTTTGTGAGGTCCAAATAACTTATAAGAGAGACTTGACTTCACAGAAATCACAGACCCACTGAACTTGGCAAAATGTATCTAACAGACCAACCCAGAAAGAATAGACAAACAAAAATGATCAGTGACTCAATTCAAGTTGAAAGCTAAATAGTTTCAAGTATGTCATTTTATAAAACATTTTCATAGTCATTGTTAGCCACTCCCAAAATGTAAATTAACCTATTAATTCGTTTACTAATAAAGTTTAAAAAAAATTGCATCAAATCTTTTTAAATATGGTATTACGACACTTCATTGTTTTATCTCTTTTATTATGACATTGTACGCATCAATTTAACAAAAAACACTCGAGAATGATTAAATTTATTTTTTATTAGCATTGACATTTTATTTAATATTTTAACCATTTCAAGAGAAGAAAATCATTTTACAATGCTAATAAAATATAGTAAAGTACTTCCTCCAAAACTGCCGTTAAGTCATGGCTTAGTATACAGAAAAACTGAACAATTAAACTTTAACTAAAATCAGATGAAAAGAGTAATTAGGATAATTAAACAAATCACAGTTTTCTTTGAGTGATATAATATTTGTCCATATTTATATGTACTGAGCCCTTCAGTGGCATAGGGGTCTGAAAATCTTAGACAAAAAACAGTACAAAATGACTAAGTTTCAGAAGGAAAGAAAGATGCATCAAAGAACGCAGTAAAAAACTTTGAACCTAACAGGATTGTTAACAAGACAATGCAGACATTTGAGTAAGATTGGTATAATCCAACATGGATCTGTACATACAGATTCTGCAAGAGACACCGATGTATCTACTAACAAACTGCGGTTCCACATTTGCCTACAGAACGAAGTGCTTTGTGGGATGTAAAACACAACTGTACAAGAAATTCAACCGTTGCAATTGGGAGTACAATCAAATTTTCTGATGAACTAGGACTCATCAATGTGCTATAGGTACAGAACGGTGGATACAATAGCCCTCAAAAGGCACAGAATATTGCACTTCTGAATTACATCTACATTAATAAAAAATTAAATTTAGAGACTGCCAAATATAAATGCATATTAATCTAGCATAGACACTCGGAGTTCAAGTTGTAGAGCAGCAGCGTATTTAGCTGAAAGTTGTGGGTTCGAATCCCGCTTGTGATGCAAATTTTTCATTTTGTAAAAATTAGGTATAACTAATTGAGTAATTATATAATTAACCAAAAGCCGTTAAAAATAATTAAAATGTTAGTATTAATCTAGTCACATCTGTGTATCGGTCACAATAGCTAATAAAAGTGTTTCTATATGAAGCCATGATTTGTGAACAATTGGAATAAATAATAGTAATAATTCCTTAAATTCACTAATTTCGTGGTCTGCTTGACAAATTAATATAAGACGATTAATTAAGGTTTTTAGTTGAGATAAAAAAGTCAATGGCAAGAGCGGGATTTGAACCCACGACCTTCGGCAAGATACGCCACTGCTCTTCCACTTGAGCTATTGTGACCTCAATCCACTCGGACACCAACTTCCCTTCTCAACCCCACCTTTTAAATTTTCCCTCCTTTTTGCCATTTTTCAAATGTCGTGTAATCAGATTGGATTCTCGGCGACAAATGAAATGGCCACGAAGAGCTTTAGTGAAGTATACTTCATTTTAAATCATTAAATTCACTAATTTCGTGGTCCACTTGACCAATTAATATATTACAATTAATTAAGGTTTTTAGTTGAGATAAAAGGTCATGATAGCTCAAGTGGTAGAGCAGCGGCGTATCTTGCCGAAGGTCGTGGGTTCGAATCCCGCTCGTGCCATTGACTTTTTTATCTCAACTAAAAACCTTAATTAATCGTAATAATAATAATAATAATAATAATAATAATGCTTGAACTTAAGAAAGGAAAAATGACAATTGTGATTTCAAAGCATTTAAGGACATGGATCTTGGATCCATCTGCCAGAAGTCGTTGGTTAAACAATCAGAAACGAAAAAATACACAATAAAGTAAGATGAAAGTTATAGCCTAGGCAATAAATTGAAAAAAAAAAAAAAAAAAAAAAGGAGAAATAACAACTGTTAAAATGCGAGAGAGAATGAAAAACAGGTTATACAATACAAATCAAAAATTAAACTCCTTAATTAACTCATATATGTAGTTCCATGCATGCCTAGCATAATAAATTAAGGGCTGCGAATTTGAGCTACTCATAAACCGTAACAGGTCAACTCTGGGGAGAGTGAAACATCCGAGATGCAATAACCGAATCTCACCCAGAGTTGAGAACTCCACCAAGAAGTGGGATACAGTTTCAATAAAGTGCAAATTACACAAAGAACAGATTTCCAATTCCCCTCTGATCCAAACAGCCGAGTTTAAGAGCAAAACCTCACTTCTTAGCTTAAAAAGCCATCGCAACTCATTGAGACAAAGACCGTCAAAATTATCTTCATGTAGGTCGAACAATGTAGGAGAAATTTGTACCTCCTTGTAAAGTGAGAGATGCACAGATGCTTGGACACGTGACCGGCATTCTTTGTGATGTTTTTTAATTTGATTAATAAGTACAGAAAAATAATTATGCCAGTCACAGAGGTTGTCCAAGGATATGAGGAAGGGAAAGTTGTACTTTTCAAACAAATATTTCCAGTGTTCGAACCATGAAATATTCGTCTTTATTACCGCCAAAGATGTTATTGTTGAGTATCTAGTATCGGGAGACATCAGAACTTTCACAATATAGGAGTAGTGAAGCTTAAATGTATACACCAAAATTAAATCCATATTGGTCTTTAAATATAATATATAGTTTGGTGTACCAGATGGCAATGTGAATAACTTTCTTACAAAAAAAGTTGCACTTTTTCTATTGATTCGAACCTCTGGTATCCCCACATTCCCCACATTTGACAACCATAACATAGAATTGCACGACTTATTACCTTAAAAATATTAAACTTGACTTTAATAGGGATAGTTTCATTGAGTAACAGAAAAAAAAAAAAAAAAAAAAAAAAAAAGCGATCCAGAGAACTCAACCTACCCCCTCTCGTAAACACTATGATTTTGGACTTCTCTAAATTAACTGTGAGGTTCTACTGTCCAATTTGAATAAAACGGGGAGTTGAAATGAGAGTTTTATGGTATGGGCGATCGAAGTCACGGTAACTCAAGTGGTAGAGCAGCGGCGTATTTAGCCAAAAGTCGTGGGCTCGCATCCTGCCTGTGACACAAATTTTTCATTCCGAAAAAATTGTGTACAATTAATTGAATAAATGCATGTGTTTATGGAAAAGCTCAGTGTACAATTTGTAATGAAATAGGCTTGATATTCTGTTTAAAGGGATTTGTGAAGTAATAAATTCTGTCATTCAGACTATCTATGCTTTTACAAAGTTTGTTTCCCTCTTCTTAAAACCATTCTGACACAAGTGGCCCTACCACCAGACAGTTTGAGCCTGACCTTAGAGAGTTTATAGTTAGAGATGTTTATTCTGCACGAAGAAGGATGAAAAGTTGAAAAGTGCAGTCTCTTGGGAAACGTATACGCATTGCAGTTATTAAAAAAACAACAAAAAAAAAACGCTTTATTCCGCCCCCCTTCCCACCACTCGGAATTGAGCGTAAAAAGGTCTCCAGGCCATTTGTATCTCTTACTCTTGCTGGTGCTGGCCTTCTATATAAGAAAGTGACTGATTTCAATCAGAAGTCTATGAAAAAAATCCTTCTCAGCTACACCTCTATATTATATTATATTTGGACAATTTTCATCTCAATTGCATTTGTATTATTACAGTTTAAAATTATTTTATTTAATCCCTAGCACCCTTCCATCCCTTTTCATTTTCCTTTCACATAAAGACACATGAAATTGAAAATTCAAATAGAGGCTTCACAAAATTATTTTATTCAGTAATTTAGTAGTATTAATATGTACATATTAATGTTTTGAAAGAGTTTTAGATTGAAAAAAATTGTACGTGATTTTTGATTAAAAGAACATATATTGCTGGACTGTAATCAAAAAATGTTTTCTTTATACAGCTGGTTCACCAAAGCAGATATCACTTTCAAAGTCACATTCATTTTGCCCTCTTAGTATTTTGAAGAGACCTTTGTCACCCCAGTCAGTGTTCCACGAGTTGGCGACAAGCCAGTACGGCGTTCCATTTTCTGTTCCCCAGCCTATAAGCCTTACAGCATGGCCTCCGAGCATTGATCCATGAACGTGTTGGTAGACACCGCTTTTGTAAGTTGGAAAATCAGAGTAAACTGTGAATGAGGCTTCTACAGGCCCATTTGTCATCAATTCCTTCTGAATTTCCTCTACATCACCTAAACTGTACACAGATTTCACTGTAAAAACAAAAAATAAAATTAGTGGATTAAAAAATTAATGTACTTAATTAAGTTACCTTTATGATGGTCACGTTTGAAATCAACTGTGTATTCAGGGTTTAAACATGAGTATTCACATTCAGGGGTTGGGGCTGCTGGAAGAGTGGAGCATTCAGGCCTCTTTCCAGTTGTGTGGTGTTCACATTCTTCAACTTGGTATGGTTGACAACCCTATAAAAATCCATTAATTTTAAACTTCCGTATTTCAAATATACATCAACATTTCACTTACAACTGTTGTGTTGTAATCGCCTCCAGTCACTACACCATTATCTCTAAAAAATTCCCATGCGACAGGAGGATATCCTCCATCACACCCAGCACCACATTCATCACAGCAAGATAAAAGCTCTTCGGCAGAAAGTGGTAGCTTAAATTTACCGCTTGTCGCTATGCATAACCTGTCTGAGAAAGCGCTTGCAGCTGCTACAGCCTGTAAAAAAATGTATGATCAATAACTCACACATTGATTGTAGATCTATAATTAATAAATTACCCAGCAAGATCCACAGACTCCTTGGTCCACAATATGGCTTACTGTTGGACAATTTGGCCAATGTTTACGAGAATCAAATTCTTCAGGAACTAAACTGCTGCTTATGTGCTTGTTTGATTTCACTGGTAGCCTAGACTTGTTTGATGGCTTGACACCAAGAAGACTTCTGATGTACCTTAAAGGTACATCCTTAGCAAAATTATGCCCAGCCTTGAAAAATAATTTAAATTACTTTAATATACAAGTAACAAGTGTAAGGGGGCTGGTAGCCGCAATGGTTAAGCATTAACATAATTATCATTGTAATGATCCAGTGACCCTACATTCAAATCCCATGCTGTTGATATGACCTCTGTTGTCGTGAACCCCCTTAGAGGAGGAAAAACAAGTATAAAAATTACAGATCTATATTAAGCTCTTAACAGTGATTTATTTATTTATTCAAAGATATTAATAGTATTAAAGAATTGTGAGGTGTTTAGAGACCGTTAGTAGATGATTATTTGGAGATCGTGACCAATATTCAGGCCGCATCTTACGATCTCCAAATAACTATTAAAGAAATAGCAATAATTTGGAAAATATTTTCTAATGAATGTACTATAAATAAAAGATATACAAAAATGTTTTATATTATAAAATAAATCTTGAAGCATGTAGGGAGAAAAAAGTAATTCAATATTTTTTAACTAATTGCTTGGTTGCAATTCATTAGTGAATGAATAAATGTGGCCATAATAGAATAACGTGAATGTGCAAAATCTTTAAAAACCTGATGTACAGAATAATACCAGCACCTTTCAGACTTAATCTAAAAGATTTTCATACCTGCCATGTTGTGTTTGCAGAATTAACTGCGTTTATAATTTGTTCAGCATTGAAAAGTTCTACGGTGTTTGCATACACTGCAGATATTAAAACTCCAAAGATGAGGAGGGACTTCATTCTGAAATAAAACATTCAACAGGTGAATTGTTTTCATTTTGAGAATAAATCGCATTTGAATTCTTACCTGCTCGTGTTCTAGTTCTGAAGCAGAATAGTGACGCTTCAACGGTACCAGGGATCTTAAAACCGTTTCTTGGGTACTTCAGATAGCTAATCTTCAGGACCTGCCAAAATTAATGGATTTCTTATTTCGTGACATGATTGAAATGTTTTCATTGTTGTTACAAATGTCACTGAAGTTTAAAATGAATGGGCTTGAAAATAAACTTGCACTTCAGAAAACAAGGGATTCCCATCAGGTGATAGTGCTTATTTTTTTATTTTATTTTATTTTTTTAAGTAAAAAAAACTAGCAGGGAATGTGAGTGAATCATTATTAGTACAGCTACTGAGATACAATTCAGCCAGGCATTGAGGATCAGAGAGCCCCGACTAAGCACGTGGCCTCAAAACGAAGATGTTTTCTTAAAACTGCCTAATCTTGTTTTTGCACCCAAGCCATCAACTATTATTATTAATTTATTAATATTATCAATTTGACACCACAAGAACACCACACTTTATGTGAGTGTAAACTAATTAATTTTTTTAATTAACTAAAATTAATTACATTTTGGCCTTTAATTATTTGTTCCAATCAATGTATGTTTTGTAATTCACCGAGGCCTGTACCCAAATAAATTGGCAAAAAATAAAAAAGGTAATTTTCTTAATACATCCGGTCACTAAACACACATTATTATCGATATTAGCTCTGCTGCTGTATACAGTATGGCTATAAATTCTCATTTAAAATTTATTCATTTAAATTACCACTTTGCAACATCAATTACGATAGTTTTGATGATTTTCGATAGTTTTGTTGGGAAAAACTTGAATGCTGGCTATACCAAAATCTTTGACAAAGTTAAAAAACTAGCATGGCTAAAACTAGCTGATTTATTAGAGCCTTTAAAAAACACGTTATTTATTACTGACCTGAATGGAAAAATAAAAGTATAAGCCTAGAGCTCTTATGGTGATAAAAATGGGTTCAACAGTGAGCTATATGGGTACTCAGCCTCACCAGAACCATTATTCAAGATAAATTGCTACCCATAGAATCATGTAAAAACACAAATAAATATTAATCATCTCAAGGCTGCAACAATATTAATACTTCCAGATAGTAAGTAAGCTCTAAAGAGATCAACTCAAAACTTCTAGAACTGCCTCAATGCTCTAAAAATACTGGGATTCATAAGTATCCTGGAACTAAAGTTGGTCCCAAGTCACGAGGGATTTCAGGAATAGACTGCAAATTTACCAGCTAAAAATCAGAACCTCAGTACAATTTATAGGCCCAAACATATTTTATGGCATAAACTATAAAAAAAGGACTCAAATCTTGAATGACTAAAGAATACTGGGAGCGTAAACCAGGCATAAGGCAAACAAAAGATCACTCACAAAAACAACCCCTTGGGAAAAAGAAGAAATCCTTAACCAAAAGGAATTTAAAAACTACAACTGATATAACTTTTTCTGTCAAACTAAACTTTTTAAATTCAAATTAACCCTTTCAAACCACAAAAAACCTAAAGGATGGCATAAAATTTAAATTATGTAGTAAAGTAAAAATGCTGCACTTGAAAATAAATATAAAATAATTGGGCTCTTCAAAGACCATAGAAATTTAATTAAAAATCAATATTATATATCTTTTTTTTCTATCAAATTAACCATTTTTCACATCAATTCATCCTTTTCTACTTTCAAATTAAGAGGTTTTAATTTTAAATGAATCCTTTCCTTAAATCATCAATAAACCTAGAACACGGTACGAAATTTAAGCACATAAAGTAAAATTCCTGCATAAAAAATAATAATAATAGTTGGGCTCTTACCAGACCATATGAAAATTAATTACAAAATTAAATGTATACAGTTTTTTCTCAAATTAACACATTTTATTTAAAATTGTTTATTTTTTTAAATCTTTAAATTAACTATTTTGAATTTTGAATGAACAGATTATATCTGTCAAATGAACCTTTTTTAAATCATATTAACCATTCTTACCTTTTTATACTTTTTATAATTTTAAGTTAAATATTCCTTAAAACATCAAAAACCTAAGAGATAATATGAAATATATTTCATATTTCCTCATAAATTGAAATTCTTGCATTGAAAAAATAATAATTTGGCTCTTAAAAGAACAGTAAAATTAATTGCAAATAAAACTAAAAGTTATAGCTTTTTCTTTAACTAACCCATTTCAATTGCAAATTATTGTATTTTTCACCTTTAAATTAACCATTTTTAAATTTGAATTAAGTTTTCACTTCAAATCAACCTTTTGTAATTTCAAATTATTCCTTTCTTTAAAACATCAAAAAACCAAAAAGATCTATGAAATGTAGCACATAAATAAAAAAAATTATAAAATAATTTAGCTCCTGTAAGACCATGTGAAAATTAATTATAATTACAATTAAAAATGATTATATAATTATTATTTAGAGATTGTGAGATGCTGCCTAGTGAGATGTAGGATTAGAAAAACATTTTTTTTATCGTGCCCGTTTCAACCTTTTCTGAGATCATCTTCAGAGAGACTCAACACGACACACAGCAATGACACTTCTACACAGAAAACACACACGTAGATAAATACTTTGATTTACAAATATTTTGATTAAATTAAACACGACACACTTTGATTAAATCTAAAAATTCTGTAAATGTAAACAATGTTTATAAATCCGGCATTGAAGATAGAAACATTGGCACAATAAATAAAATGTTTTTCTAAACCTGCAAGACATCAGACCGCATCTCACGATCTCTAAACAATCATTAATTAACGGTCACTAAATATTACACATTTCTAAATGATTATATAACTAAATATAAAAACAAATTATTTGTCTGTTAATTTTAGATTTTTATAATTTTAATTTTTTTCTTTTTTTTAAATATACAAAAATTTTACTTTACATGCTTATATTTCATACCAACAACATACTAAGTTTTAGGTTGTAAAGAAAGGGTTAATTTAATGAGAAATAACTAATAAAAATATTAAAAAAATTGTGCTATCAACACATGACCAATGTCGATTATGTCAAGAACAGAATATATCCTAAGTAAATGCTTCACTATAGCTAGGAAAAGGCTACGGTACTTAGGGGGTCCTAGGTATGCATGTCCTTGAGCTATGTAGATATTAATACCCATACCTCTGAGAAGAATTCTTTACTTATAAAATAAGATAAAAGGCCTGAAAAGCTCCCATGTAATCCATTAGCAGAGATAGGAACAATATACAAAAATGCTAAAGGGTACAACCCTAAGTAAAAATGTTCAAACAATGTTTTTTTTCTTCTTATTTAAATAAACATCACCTACGCACCTCTCAGAAATCTAATATTCATAACTAAGAAAAAAATTATGTTAGTTTTAATAAAATTTTAACTAGGAATTATAATAATATATGTAAATTGGAACATTTATCCTGATGTCTTCAGAACGATTTAATCTGAAATTCGGTCCTTGCCGAACATTTTGGTCTACTTATGGTGCACAGAATTAAATGGCGAAACATGTCTAACCAACTCAGCTTGGATAGGCAGACCAAAATGACGGTAACGATCTAATTAAAAAATGCAATTGGAATCTTCTAAAATATTACACATAAAAATTAATATCGTTGAGAAGAGGTGCTGGACAGACTTCAATGTGAGATTGTTTTAATTATTTTTATTTATTTATTTTTTATCTTAACCTTGTTATATTAACATAAAAAATGATAAATTATCCCATACATGTATTTAGTAGTCATAATTGACCGCATTAATTATTTTAATTAATTGTACCTTTTTTCTAAGTCCTTAGTTGAGATGAAAAACCTAGTGCTACAAGCAGGATTCGAACCCCACGACCTTCGGCTCAATACGCCGTTGCTCCAACCATTTGAGCTATCGCGGAGCTTGGTTGAGAAGAAAAAGCACTCCTCAGGAGCGGGATCCATTGAAATATGGCAAAAAATGGAAAGGTTGGAGAAAAAAAATTCTAAAGGTTGTACATTGAGATGAGAAGTTGGTGTCCAAGTCAGCCGAAGGTCGTGGGTTCGAATCCCCCACGTGCTAAGTGCTTTTTCATCTCGACCAAGAACTTATATAAAAATTGTAAAATTATTTAAAAGAATCGCAAAATTATCATGATAATACATTTTTTTATGAATTTTTACTTACGTCTGGGAGCAATGGCTGGTCACGCCGGAAAAAGTCTCGCAAAGGCTAGTTTTACTAGAATGCCGATTTCTGCGAAGTACTTGAAGTCGATAGCGAACTGAAATGAACCTCGTTCTCCTATTCAGATATTTATAGGACCGATATGACCCTTCGGAATGAGAGTAACGGGGTAGGATTTAAGCCACGGGTTGTAGGTACACAAAAGGGTAAGCAGTAACTTCTACCTACTAACAGCGGCACTAGACAATTGGTTCAAGTTATAAATGTCGGCTTCTTTTGTGCTAAAGACGCCGAATAGCAATGCCTGGTAATCCGAAGCAACATAATGGGATCTCCAGTTTATGGATTAGCCGGATTCGGCCCTTTGTAAAAGAACCAAACGACGGTTTCAAGTACAAATATGTAAACTTTACAAAAGTGTATGGTCCCGTAAATAATTGAATCTATTTATCACTTATTTCAAGTTATTTACATAACACATTTAATCAAACTAATAAACATTTAATACTATTTGATCCATAATTGAGGATGGAATACCTGATCTTTCTTCTTGGAGAGCAACAATGGTTGCTGACTCTCCTCACGATAATATTGTAAATGTGTATGATATTCCAGTATAATGTACAATATACAAATGGTAATAAAAAATGTATAAAAAAATGCTTTCACAACGAAATCTGTATTTTTTCATCCCTAATTTCAATAGATTTATCCATGCTGCTGGTACATTTTAAATGTTGGAAAAAATGTATGGTGATTAGTGACCGTTAATCGATATTTATTTAGAAATCGTGAGATGCGGTCTGGTGTGATGTAGGTTTCAGAAAAACATTTTCTTTATCGTGCCAACGTTTCGATCTTTAGTGAGATCATCTTCAGGGCTCAAAGTGTTTTCTTCTGTGTAATTGTGCCATTCTTGCGTGTCGTGTCGAGAGTGCCACAAGAATGGCACAATTATACAGAAGACAAACACTTTGAGCCCTGAAGATGATCTCAATAAAGATCGAAACGTTGGCACGATAAAGAAAATGTTTTAAACCTACATCACACCAGACCGCATCTCACGATTTCTAAATAAAAAAACAAAGTTAGAAAAAATATACATGGTTGCCACATCAACATAAATTTTAAGATTTTTTTCCTGTGCAATGAACTTGTTGGTAATTTTCAACCTTTTAGTTGGTTTAATCACGCTAGTTTTTGACACCTCACTGAAGATGCCAACATATCTGATAGACCAAGGCTGCTAATATTGGATCGTCACAGATGACTAATCTGTGTCAATATTTAACTGTTTCAATAGATCTTTTATAAACTATCTTATCATTTCTTAAAATTTTTTACGTGCTCATTATTAATCGATTGATGCAGTCAGGTTGTTTATTACAAAACAAAATAAAATTTAAAGCAACCCTAATTGATTTTATAATAAAACTTTTTTTGAACAGACATAATTATTAATTTTTTCAACCATCTTAGATTAGATTAGATTAACTATTTTAAACCCTAACCATGTATGTCCTTCAGGCCCTGGCTTTTCCTCTCCCAGGATTAAGAATCAGCCTGCATAAGCCTTCACACAAATAAAACGTCTACATTCCACTGTTTTTTCTTCTTTGTAGTGTTTGCAAAGGCTTGTTTCTGCCACAACGATTCTAAAAATATGCTACTGTTTAGTATTTCTGCCATTAGTTTCTCTGATGGTCTTTTGATAAACTTTTTTGCATGCCTACATCCCCATTGAATGGAGGACTTATTTTTAATCCATCGTCTATTGGATCTGGATATTGGTAGTTTGGTATGTAAAAAAAGGGTTCAGGGCCAATAGGTGTCCTCCATGGCTTTTCCATGGTGGACTTTCCATGGCAAATTTGTCGGCATCTTTGTTGCCTCTCTGCCCAGTGCGCTCTGGTACTCAGGTAATTTTGTTATTTTCCTTCAACCATCTTCGTTTGCTTATTAATGCTAGTTGGTCACTCTATCACTGAAGATGGCAAGCCAACTATCTTCTTACAGACCAAGGCTGTTAGGAATGAATAATTAGAAATAACTAAACTCCTCCCTTCTGTGGCATAGGAATCCACACTATTAACGAATATCTCAGACAGAAGTACAAAAAGAAAATTAAGGAACTTTGGAATTCACTCACAGGACATAGACAATCCAAGAATCTTCTAACCAATTTTGGTAGGAAAGAAATCACAGAATGTGTCAAAGGAAGCAGGAACAGACTGCGAATCCTAACAGGATTCCTAACAGGACACTGCAGATTAAATGGACACTTAAAGAAAATTGGAAAAATCCAAGATGGCACATGTAGATTCTGCAAGGAAGCAGAAGAGACACCAACACACTTACTAACAAAATGCGGAGCTACATTAGCCCGCAGGAGGAAATGTTTTGGGATGTACAATGTGACCATAGAAGAGCTTTAACCATTAATACCGGGCCTACTAATCAAGTTTCTTGATGAAATAGGACTCACCGATGTGCTTTAGGCAGAGCATGGGGGATACAATAGCTCTTAAAGGGCGCAGTATACTATACACTGAAATTACATCTACAAACTCCTTAAACAATCCTGATCTTTTACAAACAGTTTTTCTTTTATTATTTTATATGTTACCTTTGTACATCCCCAATATTACTTTATTGGTGTAGTAAGGTTGTTTATTACAAAACAAAATACAAATTAAAACAACATTAATTTAATTTATAACAAGTTTACATAGTTATATTACATTATTTTATAATAAAACTTGTTTTCGGACAAACACAAAATTGATATTTCGTTCAATTAATTAAGGTTTTAAGTTGAGATAAAAAAAGTCAGTGTCACAAGCGGGATTCGAACCCACGAACTTCAGCTTGATACGTTGCTACTCTACCACTTGAGCTATCGTTACTTCGATCCCCTGGGGCACCAACTTCCCAACTCAACCCCACCTTTTGAATTTGAGATGGGAAGTTAGTGCCCGAGGGGATCGAAGTCACGATAGCTCAAGTGGTAGAGTAGCAACGTATCAAGCCGAAGTTCGTGGGTTCGAATCCCGCTCGTGACACTGACTTTTTTTATCTCAACTTAAAACCTTAATTAATTAAATGTTATTAATTGGCCAAGCGGACCACAAAAAATAGTGAATTGATATTTCATTTCAATAATAATTTAGTCAATAAAATCCTTAATACATTTTAAACTTGGCCTGCTATGACTTTCTCTTCTATGCCACACTCATTTTTCCCTCTTAGTATTTTGAAAAAACCTTTGTCACCCCAATCAGTGTTCCATGAGTTAGCGATGAGCCAGTACGGTGTTCCGTTTTCTGTTCCCCAACCAAGGATCCTTATGGAATGTCTAGTCAGAAATTGTCCTGTCACATGATGGTATACACCTTCTTTGTAAGTAAGAAAATCTTCGTAGGCCATTAACCTCGCTTCAACTGGACCAAACTGCATTAATTCCTTTTGTATGCTGGCAACTGTGCCGTTAACTGTATATACAGTTTTGACTGAAGAAAAAAAATCATAAGTTACTTTAATAGTTTTTTAATATTTTGAATTTACCTTTATGATGATCTTGTTCGAATGATCCTTTGAATTGTGGGTTTAGGCAGGTCTGCTTGCATTTCGGGGTAGGTGACAATGGAAGAGAAGAACACTCTGGTCTTTTGCCTTTCATGTAGTGTTCGCAAGGTTGAATTTGGTACGGTTGGCATCCCTTTAATTAAATCAGTTGATACAAACTTGATCAGTTTACATTTTAAACAATTTTTTAACTTACAACATTGGATTGATAATCACCACCCGTGACCACACCATGATCCCTAAAAAATATCCATGCTTCATCGGTGTATCCTCCTTGGCATCCATTACCACATTCTTCACAGCAAGCTAATAATTGTTCCGTTGATAAAGGCTCCTTAAAAGTTCCATTAGAAGCAATGCAGGCTCTATCTGAAAAAGTCGAAGCTGCAGCTATTGCCTGAAATTTTCATAACAAAATGCTCAAGTTATTGTTTTAAACTGTTTAAAAATCCTTTTGAATACCCAGCAAGATCCACAGGCACCCTGGTCACGAATGTGCCCAATTGTGGGACATTTGGGCCAATGTTTTCTAGAATCAAATTCTTCTGGGAAGTCTGTGAGGACATCGTACGATTTCACTGGTAGATCATTAACTTCTGACTTCCAAGACCAAAAAAGGCCTTTGATATACGCCACTGGGACAACTTTCGCAAAATTATGTCCTGACTAAATTACAAAAAATTAAATATGTTAACTCTACAAATTGATCTGATTTGCTCAGTACTGCTTGATTTAGTTAGTGTTATTAATGTAGTAATAAACTTAGACTTGATTTTTAATTTTATAACAATGTTAACATCAGAATATTACTTATCACCTTACCTTCCATGTTGCATTTGCGTTATTTACAGTTCTTATAATAGATTCAAAGTTGTATAATGAAACTGTGCTGGCCTCAGAGCCAGCAAATAAAAGTCCAAATGTTAAAATCAGTCTCATTGCTATGTTTTGATGTTTCAAATACGACTGAAAGAAAAAACATAAAGCCTCAATATTAATAAATGTCCCTTATATCATACCATTTACACAAAAAAGGCTAAATTAATTAAACGGAATAAATTAAATTAAGACAGCATGAATGCGCTTCATAAATGTTTGAATTTTTTTTTAGCTATTACAGCTAAAGCTACTCTTGCATAATCTGCATTATCTGCAAAGATAAAATAATGAATGACGAGAACAAAGCAATCATCAAGTGCAAGTTGGACTAGTTAAAAAATTCATTAGCTCTTTTTTGTTTCAACATGTATGAACAATGCAAACCTTTCCTATAAAAAAATATGAGTCATTTGGTAAGCCTTCTTTAATTTAGACTCGGGGAAGACCACTCCAGCCTTTTTGGTCTTTCTAGTTTAAAAATTAATAATCAAAAACTACTCTCATTAGCAAAATTAATGTACTTACAAAAAGATGTCTTGTGGCAAAGCAAATGGTATCAGAAGAAAAGCAAGTATGAAAGTGGTATAATAATGTAGACTTCAAGATCTTTGTGAATGAAACCATGGTCCATTTTGGATTGCCTATTAATTTGTTTTCTTATGAAGGGGAAAACTGATGTTCAATCAGGAGGCTACACTCCCATGCGAGTGGGACTTGCACTCACTAAAAAGTATGCAAAACTGGCTATTTTCTCATCCAGAGACTGCTATGAGCACTAAGTAAGTGACTCAGTTTGGAGCCACTTATTATGGTTTATTAGACATTTTCAAAATCCAGATTCATTGCCTAATCTTCAAGATGTCAGGTGACAGTCGAGCATCACCTTTGTACATAGCAGGACCATGTTCATGAAGGCCACCATCCTTGCCACCTGTTGTGGTGATTATGATTCCAACGACATTCTCCAGTGTGATCTGTCCTATGACTATCTCCAGTTCATGGCATTCTGGAACTCAACATTCAAATTAAGAAAATGTATAGTGAACATCATCACATGGAATATCGGTGAAAATGCACAACGGGTCTTCCATCCTGCTGAGGTATGAACCAAAATACCCATGCCCTGCCAGGAATCGGGTGGCAAAGTAGTCAACCCCTCCATGTCTCCTCTCAGGCTGTACAGCAGGGGTCCCAAACTAGACGAGCTGTCCATCTCCCACACTTCCTGGAGAGCCACATTTCCTTCCATTTATGTGAGGTATTCCTTTTGGCCATTTTTATTTTCCCATCCATCCCAAGTCTATCTCTGTGATCGCTAATCCACTTTCTAGCCAGATCCATCAAGGCAATAGGGATATCTTATTTGACCACTAGGACTGCTAACTTGCTAACTTGGAAACCTTTTTTTAGAAACTTTCTATTCTTTTTTTGGTATTTGAGCATATACCTCACTCTCATAAAGCATAACTGAGTGAGCATCTAACATTACGTCTAAAAAAATTGGAATCCATGACCACCTAACATCTCCATGTCCCTTCCACCCAACGCTGGTCACACCTTCACTGAAGATGGTGAAATATGCCACATATTTGACAGACCAAGGTTGCCAGGATTAGACCGTCAGGGTGAACTAAACTGCTTTTCAAAAGATACAATCTTGATCTTTTACAAACCATGATTTTTTAAATTTTGTATGTTAACTTTATACATATCACTTATTTCTCTATTGGTGTAGTAAGGTTGAAAAAAAAAAATAAATAAAACAACACTAATTTATTTTAAACTTTTGCAGACATTTTTTTATTTTTTATATGTTAACTTTATACATACTAATATTTCTCTGTTGGAGAAGTAAGGTTGTTTAGTAAAAACAAAATAAAAATTAAAACAACAGTTTATTTTATAATAAAATTTGTTTTTGGACCAAAACAATTATTTCATTTCAATAAAAATTTAGTCAATGAAATCCTTATACATTTTAAAGTTGGCCTCCTACGACATCATCTTCAATGCCACACTCATTTTTACCACGTACGATTTTAAAAAGACCTTTGTTACCCCAATCTGTGTTCCATGAGTTGGCGATGAGCCAGTACGGTGTTCCGTTTTCTGTTCCCCAACCAAGGAGCCTTACGGCATGGCCACCTAATAGGTTTCCTGTTACATGATGATATACACCTTCTTTGTAAGTAGGAAAATCTTCATAGACCATGAATGACACTTCAGCCGGGCCAAACTGCATTAATTCCTTCTGTATGTTGGTAACTGTGCTATTGAGTGTGTACGCAGTTTTGACTGCAGAAAAAAATTATAAGTTGATCGTTTTTTTTCCACGACATTTTAAAATACCTTTATGATGATCCTGTTTGAATTTTCCTTTGAATTGTGGGTTTAGACAGGCCTTCTTGCATTTCGGGGTAGATGACAATGGAAGAGAAGAACACTCTGGTCTTTTGCCTTTTATATGGTGTTCACAAGGTTGAATTTGGTACGGTTGGCATCCCTTTAATTAAATCAGTTGATACAAACTTGAGCAGTTTACATTTTTAACCATTTTTAACTTACAACGTGGGAATGATAATCACCACCTGTGACCACACCGTGATCCCTAAAAAATTTCCATGCTTCATCGGTGTATCCTCCTTGGCATCCAAAACCACATTTATCACAGCAAGCTAATAATTCTTCTGTTGAAAGAGGTTGTTTAAATGTACCATTAGAAGCAATACAGGCTCTATCTGAAAAAGTCGAAGCTGCAGCTACTGCCTGAAATTTTCATAATAAAATGTTCAAGTTTTTGTTTTAAACTGTTTAAAATCCCTTTGAATACCCAGCAAGATCCACAGGTACCCTGGTCACGAATGTGCCTAATTGTGGGGCATTTTGGCCAATGTTTTCGAGAGTCAAATTCTTCAGGGATTTTAAAGTCTGTGAGGTCATCGTACGATTTCACTGGTAGTTCATTAACTATTGACTTCCTAGCCCCAAGAAGGCCTTTGATATATGCCAGCGGGACATCTTTCGCAAAATTATGTCCTGCCTAAATTACAAAAAATTAAATAAGTTTTTAAAATTAAACATACAAAAATTGTAACATTACATTTACATCATGTTATTTTTTAGTCTGTCAGTTCTATTCTAGGTTCCTAGAATCTATGAATATTTTTAATAATAAACAATGTTGAAATTGCAAATAATGCTGCAACAATTAAAAAAAAATTATACCTTCATTTTAACATATTTTGTTTAATTTAATAGTTCAAAGTTTACAAATATGTTACCAAATGAAGGAAAAAACTTATATTTTGAATATTATATTAAACAATAAAATCTACAATAAAAAATTACTTTGACGTCCCTAGTTTAAATACACATTGTTCTGTTTTACTTAGTTTTATTAAATTTTTAATTATTAATTAAAATTAAGTAAAAATAATTAAATTAAAATTAATTAATAATACAATAATAACATTGAAATATTACTTATTAATTTACCTTCCATGCTGCGTTTGCATTATTTACAGTTCTTATAATAGATTCAGAGTTGTATAATGAAACTGTGCTGGCCTCAGTGCCGGCAAATAAAAGTCCCAATGCTAAAAGCAGTCTCATTGCTGATTCTTCAAATGCGACTTGAAACCAAAATATGAAAGTTCGATGTTAATAAATACCCCTTGTGTTATCGTTTACAATAAAAACAGACATAAAATTGATTAAGTTAATCTTGTAACACTTCAGATAGCATATCTTGGTGTTTTCGATGGGCTACGAATATCAATATGTGTCAGATTGTTCACACTTAATAATTCTAAGGTAAATTTGTTTTATAATGGTTGATAAAAATATGATCATAAAAGGATGAATGACCAAAGCAAGGCAATTTTTTTTATGAGGGTGCACAACAGCAGTTGTTATATCAACCTAAGGTTGCCAGAAGGCATCATTAAGTGCATGTTGTACTACTAAAAAATTCGTACACTTTAATTTCACATGTGTGAACAATGGGAATTTTTCAAGGAAGTCCTCCTTTAATTTAGACTTTGAGAAGACCACTTCAAACTTTTTGGCGTTTCTTCTTTAAAAGTTAATAGAACAGTGTGGTGTTTAGTGATCGTTAGTTAATGATTATTCAGAGATCGTGAGTTGCAGTCTGGTGACGTAGGGTTTAGAAAAACATTTTCTTTATCGTGCCAACGTTTCAATCTTTATTTTTATCTTCAGGGCCTGAGATTTATAAACATTGTTTAAATTTTACAAATACATGTAGGATGTGAAAAAGAAAAAAAGGCAGTCCTAAAATTTGTACTCAAAGTGTTTGTTTTCTGTGCAATTGTGTCGTTACACATACAACACACAAGAATGATACAATTATGCAAAAAACAAACACTGAGTGAGTACAAATACTTTGATTGAATATAAAATTTTCTTATTTCAGTTTTTTCTTCACATCATACATGTATTTGTAAAATTTAAACAATGTTTCCATTTTTAGGTCTGTTTTGGATGTTTGTGCCTATTAATTTTTTTGCTTACAAGGGGGAAACTGATGTTCAATCAGGAGGCTACCCTCCTAGGTGAATAGGACTTGCCCTCACTAAAAAGTACACAAAACTATTTTGTCACCCAGGGACTGCTATGAACACTACTTCATGACTCAGGATGGAGCCACTTATTATGGTTTTTAAGTCATCTTCAGATCCTGATTCATTGTCTATTCTGCTAGTCCTAGGTGACGGTCGAGCATCACCATCTTACACAGCAGGACCGTCGTTATGAAGGCCACCATCCTTGTCCACCTGTTGTGAAACCTGACTATCATTCCGATGACATTTTCCAGTGCGATCTGTGCTATGACTGTTTCCAGTTCATGGCATTCTGTAGCCCACTATTCAGATTCAAAAATGTATGATGTGCATAATCTCATGGGGGGGGCAGCAAAAATGCACAATAGATTATTCATCTTCCCCATCCTGATGAGGTACAAGCAGAAATACCCATGTCCTCCTAGTAGTATCTCTTCATCTCCTCTCAGACCATACAATGGGGGACTCAAACCAACCGAGCTGCTCATCTCCCAAGTTTCAAAGTCAAACCCTGTGATTGCTAATCCTAAGTCACCTAAGTCATTAAGGATCACACCCTTGACCTCCTGAACTGCTGACTCAGAAAATATTCTGTAGGAGCTTGCTATTCTTAAGGTTCCCCTCCATTGGTCATATCCATTTGTTTACGACATTTATCTTTTTTAGTGCTTCATCTCACATATCACACTTGTAAAGCAAGATTGAGTGGGCAACTGACATTAGAAAGTGACATCATGGAACACATATCCATTTTATTATAATAATTATATAATGGACTATGGACTATTGATTACAATTATAAGAATTATGGAATAATAATTATAACAATATGAAGATTTTATTATTATTTATTTGTGATTTTGTTTAGTGAATATAAAATATGGTTTAGAAATAATAGTTTAAGTGGAAAAAATATTGACTACTTCAAAAGAACAATTACAAAATTAAATATTTAATTATTTGTCAATAAAACACAATTAAGCTGTAATTTGTTGCACTGGTGTTAAGGTGTAAAGCATCCTTTCCAAGCAATAAAATGGTCAAATTAAAATAATTTTTTATAATATTTAAATATTAATTAAATATAATTTAATGGGATCATCCCTGATTATTTTTTAATGTGAAATTATATTGTTGAATATAGGGAAAAATTGGTTGACCAGGATGAGAAGAGATGATTAAGGTCCATGAGCATGTAAAACTCCATCATAAAATTCCATGAAATTCCAAAGGAAAATTATTTTATTGTCAACTAAGGGCAAGAAAAATTGTGTTTTTTTGATAGTTTACAGTTTTTGAGAAACAATAACAACCATGACTCACCCAAGAAATGGGAAAATCCAAAGAAAATTGCATTTTAATTTTGTTTTTCTCAAGAATCATATCTTCATCCAGAGCCTCAGAAAACATGATATTGCAATAGCCTACCCACATAAAAATGAGCATTTAAAACGCTGGGAGGAAGTTCAGACAAAGTTCTGGGATGTATATTGACAGCATCATCCAAAAATTATGATTAAGGAATTTCACATTAAAATACCCAGTGGGACAGACTGGAAGAAAGGAATTCTAGTTAATACAACAATATTTGGTACTTAGTTAATACCAAGTATGAGTAACTCTGGAAATAAATAAACAAAGAAGGAATTCATATAAGCCTTGGGCAATATGCCACTGTTTTTTCAGGTGGAGACTGGCTATTGAACACTGAACCACTAGATCAAAAGGCTGGGTATTGTCAACAAAAGAATAACCATCTAGTCTAAGAGCCAGGTGGCACTAAAGGCCACAACCTCATCCACATCTAAGCCCATTAGTCCGATTCATGTCCATCATCCTCTCCCTTATTCTTTAAGACTGGATTTGGTTGGACTGGACTCTTTGGAAGACAGAAGAATTTTGGCTTCGGCCTTGTTCTTATGGAAGATACTTAACCATCAGATTGACTCCGTGAATATTTTGGCCTGCATTGGTATTAAGGTCCCCCAGCATTGACTCTGCTCCTATGAACTATGCTATGTTCCCAACATAGGACGAATTATGAATCAGAATGCTGTCATTCTTGGATAGTTAAGCACATTAATCAATATGGACATGTTGCAGACCCTTTCTCTGACTCCTTGTCAGTTTTCAAAAAGAAGAGATTTTAAGGACTTTAAAAGAGTAACTGAGCCTTGTTTATTTTTATTTATTTACATTTTATTTTATTTATTTTTTTGCCTTGCATTTTGTGTATTGTATTTTTTGTGTTTGATTTTTACTTGGCCAACAAGTTTTATTGTTATCTATTGCAGATATATCTAGTTGTATCCTATTATTTTTATCTAATGTTAAGAATTTAAATTCTAAATTATTATGTATGCTTTTTGTATTTTTGACTGTTCAATTTTGGGCCATTTGACCCGTTTTAACTGCAATAAAATTTATATAAAGTGTGAAGTGATGGACCGGCAAACAGCTGGCCCTCAGCATGTTTTCTTCTGTTTCTCTTCTTTTGTGCGTATTTTGTTTTGAGTGTCTTGATCTGGTTACTGACTCTCTGCTTTAAAATGAATACTACTTTGAGATCCTAAAAGGCTAGCCTTTCATTTGTACCTCAAGTTGTCAAATACAGAATAGAAACAAAACATACAATACAGGGGTTAACTAACCCCTTCCTTTCACGCTAATAAATTACATTCATTTCAATAAATTAACATAAAGTCAATACAGACATAAGCACATATGAACACTATATACATTTAAAAAATCCCTATAGCCCTGAGGTATCAGAACAGTAATCTGTGCCTGCTGCCATGCCCCAAGACTAAGCACAGGTCCAGTGATATGCCAAAATATTATCTATATATATATATATATATATATATATATATATCTTCCCTTCTATAATTGAAAAGGTGCTCGACCGTTACTCTACCATTGCAAATGAGCACCTACGCGGTGACTTTCCAACCAGAAGGTGCCTGTTTTAATTTTGTATGATTTTTGTGTCTTGCCAGTATGGCCTTTTCCCTTTTAAACCATTATCCTGGGACCAGGGACCGACGTCTTTCTTAACTTACCACAGTTTAGTAGGGTTATTTCTATTTCTCTGAGCCAAGCGATTCTTCCATCTCTTTTTACTGTATTTCAAATTAATAGCTTTAGATCTGTTGGGCGTACAGGTTGGGAAACATTGTGGGGCCTTCTGGTGGCTTCTTTGGCCACCCTGTCTGCTTCTTCCTTATTTGGCCAGGAACCCTTGCAACACAAATTTCTTCCAACTGCATTGATCCATTTTAATTGTTCTTTTATTTTATTTATTAGGGAGGCTATCATGGAGGCTCTTCTCCTGAGCTTTTGGACAGCACTGAGCAAATCAGTACACAGCAAAAAAAAAAAGAGTTGTGGGTTTTATTGTTGATCATGCTTAGCACAAGGCATATGGCATTTCCAGCTCACAGCTGGAGGGAAATAAAATGAATAATAACATTACCAACCCCTACAACTCAGATTGAAATGTTGATGGCCCCAGGACCTCCATACAGAAAGTAGCACATTCTATTCAGAAAGCTATGAGAGCAAGAGTGGTTGCTTGTTCCCCTCTGGATATGTGTACAAAGATAAAATCCTATCTTTTTACCTAATGTATATTATTTGTACAGATGGTAATTACATTAATAAATAAAAATGAAAAATTGCACAAGGATTGTCTGATTCAGCTTTAAACCAATTTCACAACATTTTCAAATATCACTATTTAATCAATAAAACAGTATAAAAGCATAGAAAAAGAAATATTATTATACAATAAACAATAAAATATGAACCATAAAAATATTAATGATAGTTTACATAATTTAAATAGATTCAATTATCTTTAATTTTGACAAATGCGTTATTGTGCGGTGGGTTCGACATTGGACTCTGATTCAGTGCTGGACATTGAAGTTTCTGCTCCCTCATTGTCACTCGAATCAGTCGAGGAAGCCAAGGTGGTGGTGGGCGAATTTTCATTACTCTGTGCCTGACTGTTTCCTGAATAACGATCGCTAAGTGTTTTATAAATCCTTTTTCCAACTTTAGAGGATATGGTTGTGACCGTGTGAACTGTGTGTAAGACTTTGTCGTCACATTCAGAACTTGGATGAGCTGGAAATAATTTTGAAATTGTATTTCTGGTTAGATTAAAAATATTGGATTGACTTACGATGCTGGTTCTCTTCTCCTTCTGAAGCAGGCAAGAAATAATCGATGTACTGGTCGGCTATGCTTGATGTAGTGTCCAGCCCACTCAAAGCAATGTTGCCGCATGATGTCGATGTGAGGACTTCATTAGCTTTAACCCAAGTTTTCAAAGTCAAGTCTTGCATTTTTGTTGCTGCCCGGGTATGTGTCACATATGTCTTGGCATTCTCATAAATCTAAATGAAAAAGTGCATAAATAAGACTAGAAATGCGTACATTGTATCATCTTACCTGGGTGGGTTCCTCTTTCACAGAAGGGACTTTTTCCTGTAACACATCAATCCCTTTGCACAGAGTGTTGTCAATAACATATATAGGTGACCTGAGACGATTGGCAATCGGTGCTAATGCAAACAGAGTAAGGGCAAGTGCTCCCTCGGCAGAATTGAGCGTCCAAGTGATCAGGCCGTTGCTGAGCTTCACTCTGTTGTACATTCCTGCAGAAGTGTTACAAGCATAACCGACAAGCGGGATCTGCTTGAGCTTCTCAAAAACATGCATCTGAGGCAGTTGTACATCAGCAGTCCTAACACAAAAATAAAAAAAATACACTTTACATTAAAACTTTGCTTTTATTGTCAAATTTGAAAAACATAGATAATTATAATTATCTCTAGTGTATTGTATTTTATATTGTAAACCAATTTTAAAGGTTTTGGTACAGATCATCGTCTGCTTATCCACGCTGGGTTGGTCTGTCATGTCAGATATGTTTCAGCATTTTTCAGTATTTTCTTTTACAAATTACTTAGCTGTAGCACAAACTCAGCCGCAATGAACGGTAACAACCAATTTTTAGATTTATCATCCCGCAGAAAACATGGAGAAATTTTGAATTTAATAAGGTGTAGATTGATAACAAAATTTTTACAAATTACACCTCGTAATTTATTTGTTATGCAGGAAATCAATGTTCAATTACAATAGAAAAATCACGATGATCAGAAATAACCAGGCTTTGTTTATACAAATTATGAAAGCTTTTTTTTTTGTTAATGCAATTTTAATTTTAAACATTAAAACGTTTTTACAATCCATTAAGCGTATTGCCATAAAAGCTTAATTGTAACAGGTAGATAATTATGAAATTTAATGTTTACATTTTGGAGGCTTGTAAACAAAATATTCGCTTATTTTTCATTTTTATCTAGGGCAATTTTCAACCGAGTTGCAGTTTAAAATCCCTTTTTCTCAGATAAAACAATCAGACTAAAAAATTTCAATTTTTAAAACATTTGAAACCATTTCAACTCCAAAACATCAACTTATAAAAAGTTAGAAAGCCAGCTTCCCAAACAAAGGAACAATTATAGAAAAAGGAGACATCATCTGACTTTCACCAGGGTGACAGTTGATGCTCTTCGATTTTCATCCAATCCTTCTACTAGAAAGTGAAAGCTGTCTTTATTTTCACCTGAGCACAGAGAATGCAGTCCTTAAGTTTTTTAACACTTTTTTTATGATCGGTTATTTTCTCAATAACTTTCACCTGCCATTACCAGGAGATTCCTACAATTTTAAATGATACAGGATATGGAAAGTAATAGCATATTTTTATATTTGTACAATTAGGTTCTGTTTTTTTATTTAATTATTTTATACTCTGTTATAAATTGGTCAGCTTAATTAAAAAACAGTATATAATACTAATTGAGAATAAAATCACAAAAAATATCTCCAACAGAAAAGTTAAAACAAAAACTTCACACAGTACCTAAATGATAATCTGAGTAGAGTTATCTTTTATTAATTATTAAAAATTATATTAAAATTTATTAAAAAATATTAAATTATATTTTAACACCCACAACTGGTTAAAAAAAAATAATTTTAAAACTTTAATTGATACCTGAAATCAAAATGAAACTTAAAACTTGTTTGTATAAGACATAACCACAAATTATTTAAACATATTAATATTTTGAAATAAAATTGCATATATATTTTAGATTTTATTTGATGGTTTTAAAGAAGGGAGATTGTTCATTACTGAACTTTGTATGATTAATTCATCAAGCCTATACAAACATTAAACTTTAATACAATAAATATAAAATTGCTGGACTGCATGACCGAAAATTGGTGAAAACTTGTGTACCAGTATAAAAAAGAGAAACAGAATCATCTTCACATGATTAAGAATAGCCAGGGCATTTCCTCAATGAAAGGAGACTCAGGGGGTGTGAACGACTACCACCCCACAGAACATATTAACATTATACCAACATACATCCCTCTGGCTAATATTCAGAGAAAAAGGCAATTAGAAAAAAAAATTAAAGCTTGTCACCACATGTGAGAGGACACCTCAATTGAAGCAGGTTGCATGTCTGATGTGTCCCATTTCAGTATGAAGATGGCAGATATAATCGGGCTTCTAACCCGTCGAGTACAGATACGAAAGAAAAAAAAAACGCAGGACAATGGAAAATGTAGAGTGGCTTGACGATACCTGTTTGCCAGCAATATACGGGGTGCCCCAGTTCCTTCTGACGAAACAAAGGGAATCAATTCTACTCTTCGTTTGGAGCAAAAAATGCCCAGGAGAAAATTTTCGGAAAGTTCTCTATTTTGAAGATATTAGTCAATTTAGGTTTTTTCAACTTTTCACTACCTTACCACATAAAAACGCTTACAACTTCCAAAATGTTGAATAAATCCAATTACACCATTTGAAAGATGCTTGCTGTAAGATACTTCTTTTCAATAATCTGAATGACATAAAATGTTAGCTAATATCAGTTGGAACATGTCAAAATTACAAAATTTAAAATATTGTTCATGATTGCACGTTCTACTGAGGTTACAAAAAAATACCTACAACCTGTCAAATTTTACAAAAACTTCTTCATCTAATATGCTTTACGTTGATATATCCATATTTTTAAATAACGTTCTAGTAGAGTTGAAAAATAACAATTGAATTTTCGAAAACGTGAGCTTTGATGGGGGGGGGGTAGAAATAAATCAATTAGAACTCGCTTTGTAAAATAAAAATGACACATCTGTAATCTCACAAAAACCATACCAGAAAGCTTCATACAATAAAATGCAATGGTTCTTCTTGTGGTAAGCACCTAACAACAAATGTGTAACAAAAAAGTATCTTACAGCAAGTTTAGCGTTCTTTCATATGGTGTAATTGGATTTATTGTAGTCTCAACATTTTGGAAGTTGTAAACGTTTTTATGTGGTAAGGTAGTGAAAAGTTGAAAAAATCTAAATTGACAAATATCTTCAAAATAGAGAACTTTCCGAAAATTTTCTACTGGGCATTTTTTGCTCCAAACGAAGAGTAGAATCGATTCCCTGAGTTTTGTCAGAAGGAACTGGGACACCCTGTATATATAAAAAATTAAATATATAAATTGACCATTTAGTTCTTAGATATTATTTTCTAATTAGAATTAAATCCTAAAAATTGAAGTCTGAATAGCCATGACAAAGGCATAATCATTAAATGCTGGTCTATTTAATGATTTAGTTTTATAAGTTACTTTCACCCCTTTTTATCTACCTAAAAAAACTGGCAGACTATTAACACACTTTCTAAAACCAAAATTCTTACTACAACTTTACTAAGCATATTAAATTTTTTAAACTAAGCAGTTTAAAATAGCTAAGAAAAACAAAAACAAAAAACAATGCAATCGGATTTTTTAGTCTATTTCAATTTTTAACTTATATATTGGTTGTTTAGTTCTTTTTTTTGTGTATTTAAAAGCAAATATTGTAACAGTATTAAAATTATGTAAGTTGGTCAAATGTCAAGTTGAGGGAAAACAAAAGGTTTGAAAGTAATGAATAAAAATACTGATGAGTTGGCTTTTATTTCCAGGCCACCGTTCCATTGAACTGATTACATGGTTTTTTCTTTTCTTTCTTTTTTTTTTTTAAATTTGAACCAAATAGCAAGCATGTTGCAAAAGGGACTTTTGCCTATTCTTGTTTTATATTGATAAATAGTGATTAGTATAGAATTCACCAGTCATCCGGTCATTTAGAATCCACTTTGGCTTAAATAAAGTCCAAGGTTCAATAGATATTTACTCACACGTTGTAAATATTTCAACTAAAAAATTTCTTTCGATTTATATATTCTTAACTAAAATAATCTCCATATTGCATTAATAAATAATCATTTGAGGGATTTTTTGTGCAAATTAGAACACATTAATACTGATTCTTCCTATTTTCTTAGTTTAAATAATTTAAAAGAATGCAAATGTAATTGAAAATTTCTTTTCAACAGGCATTTATTGAATACGAGCCAGGAAGAACAATTTTGCACTAAAAAAAGACATTCTAAAAATTCAAGCTGAAGTTATATAAAACATAACAAATCAATAGTAAATATAAAAAGTCAATTTGAAATAGTGTTCATGCTTAATTTAAAAAATTATATATATATATATTTCAAATCATGCTACTAACTATATAGGCAGAATGACATGATCAATCTCACAAAAAGCTTAGATTTAAAATACACCTTTTACTCTGCTCACATTACTTTAAAACGGTTTATATTATTAAATTATTCATAAATCCAATTAAATGAAGAACCACACAATGTTATGAAATATTACAAAGAAAATTAAATATGTAAAAAATCAGTCAAAATTGTAATTTATTTTTGGCTTAATCAAAACTTACATTTTTATACTTGCTGTATATTAAACAGGAGAAGGATTTTTAAAACTGGCTAGTAGTCGTCGCACTGGGATTAGAAGAAGGAATGATGTGGACCTTCCTGCATCGGGCTAATAGAGTTCCCCCTCTGCTTTAATGAAAGTTAAATCCCTTTCGGAGTGGGGCTTCCTTGTTGAAATGACTCACACAACTGGTTGAGTGCAAATTAGAACTTTTATCAACAATAACTAGTTTTTTCCAAAGCCAGTTAGCATTTTAGCCAATTATAATGAACAGTTGTGCAATACAAGATCACTTTATTATTACAAATTAGAACGACAATATCAGACGCTATATAAAATCTATAGCTTAAATATGATTTTTTTTTCATTTAAATAAACTTAATAAATTAAATATATCCATAACTTAAGAAGATACAAATAAATGTTTATTTATAACTTTATTACCCACTTTTTGTTCAACATATATAAAAGCTTCTAAATAAATAAATACAACCCAGATATAAATATTGAAATATAATAAATATTGAAAGTCTAAAGAATTTATATTACAAAGGTTAGAATTACTTGTATAATTTTATTTATATTGAATTCAAGCAATTCTGGATATGCTGATTCTGAAAAATCGTAACTTCCAATTAGTACTAGATGTCATTGAAACCACATGTTACATAAATTCAGTAATTATAGTGTGTATTTTGGCAAAATAATACTAAAAGCTTTTTAAATTTAACTAAACGAAGCCTGAGATGGTTGAATTAAAAAACAAAACAAAAAAACTTAAAGAAAGTTTTTCAGATAAATAAAAACGCTCAAAATAAAAGCAAAATGTACAAAATTTTAATAACCATGTTTCATAGTTGATTTGAAGATAAAGAAAATTGAACAAAGTAGTAGAATTTATTCGGATTATAATCAATAAACGCTTAAATGGCAGATTTTATAAAAGTTACATTTTTGCTTAATTTTTTATAACCTACAAATACCATTAAATTAATGTTTAGGAACATTGCATCCAAGGTTGCGTAAATACTTTTACATACCTTCTGATTCATACGGTAAAAAAACCCTGAACCTTGTTGGTCACTGGTTGTGAATTATTTAACATATTAAAAAATGCTTTGTACATTACTACTGAATATGATTATAACTACTGTTTAAAATTATAGTACTGTTGTTCATAAGGGTAGTCTTGAAAAAGAAAATAAATTTTCCAAAATATCAGCTTATAAAAATAGAGGTTTATTACCAGAATTACTAATCTCACATTAATAATAACAAAATCTATGTTGTTATAATATATTTAATCTTGTATTCTTTACTGAGTATATCTTTCAATTGCGTAGATTTCAGCCCAGTAGGTACCAGTGTACTTTCCCATGGGTTTGAGTGTTTTTGGTTCTAAGGCATAACACTTCTGTCACCGTACCTTCTTTCATTATAGATCCATCAGTGTACCAGCAGACCTTTCTCCATGATCTGCTTGGCTCTCAATCCAAGCAAAACAATCAAAGGAACGACCAACCTTCTCTAAAAAGCATAAGGAAAATAACACAAAAAAATACCGATTAAACAATACAATAATTAAAGCCAAGAATTATATTAAATAATGAGTTGGTCTAGATTAAATATTCACTTTTAGAAAGCTAAAAAGTGCTACAATCTTGAAAAAAATTGATAATTTTATGTAAATTTACATCTTCATGTGTTCATTAGAATTATATGAATTTTAGTGCAGAGGAGAGAGAACAATATAAATTATTAGAACAAAAGAGGTCAGTTATAAAATTGTTTACAACTAATAATAAGAAAATACTGACCCTCTTTACCAAAAAATAGAAAGGTCTGGCAAAAAAGGAAAATTTCAAAAAATCCAGATCTTAATAATACAATCATTAAAGTGAGGAATTAATTATACTTATAATCTAAGGTCTTGGTAGAGATGAAAAAGCTAAGAATTCAAATCCATGGCATTTGGCTGAATACACCACTGCTCTAACCGCTTGACTTGGATCAATTCGGATTCCAACTACTCATCTCAACATCGTGACACTAACTTTTTCATCTCAACCAAGACCGTAGATTAAAAGTATAATTAATTCAAATAATTAATATGGCCAATTATGATTAATAAATGTTAAATACTGAATTTCAGATTAAATATTCATTTCCAGAAAACTGATATTTGCCACAATCTCAAAAAAAGTGCCCCAGGTGTGTTAAGAAGGTTGCCAGGTTAAATCTGCAATTTAATTAATGTCTATATTAAGAGCACATGAGCCTTAGGCCCAAAACCCACCACATTAGTGAAAACAGCCTGGGCTTGTTCCAGGCTTTTTTGACATACAACACTGCTTTTGCTTCAAAGTTCAGTCTGCTCCAGGCAGAGTTAATTAATTAGTTAATTATCTGGTGTTGTTTCCGGTATGCTTCAAAATTGGTCAAACAAATTAGCATATATTACACATGAGTCCAAGTCCCATACCTCAGTCTTTCGAGAATGTCTGCTCTAGACAAGGCTGAGGACCCAATATTCATTTTCTGCAGTCCAGAACAAAGACAAATTAACCAGAAAACCCTTATATTAATTTCAGAAATGGATAAATTATCCGAAGTGCAGAAATGAAAATTTAAATAGTTTTAAATTAACTATATAGGATTGGAAGAGCTAGAAATGATGTGACCAGTTTAAATAGTCTAACGAGTAGCACCAGTTCAACAAAAGCCATGAAAATCAAAATATTTTGGGTGTACAGATTATTGTAATATTGCAATTTGTCATATGAACAGATCATTCGAAAAGGAGTCATCACTTCCACAGTTCAAAGATGACATGGTTTGCTTGCAGTGTGGTTTGACATTGTTCCAGTCATATTCAATGACAATCAAACATTTTGATTCAGTTTACTTCAAACAAATTGACTAATCTGATGTTTTTGAGTTGAAATCTTAAGGGGAAAGACTAAACTGTTGCACCATGACAATTTCCAATAGTAGTGGCTCCCAGGGGGACATTTAAGTCTAAACAAAATTTCCAGACTCACCTGGGAGTATGTTAAAATGGTAATGAGGAAAACCTTTCAATAAAGGTACTCGCACAAATCTAAAATGCGAGAAAGCACAATGGTTATTTGGTTACAAATCCAGGTGGATAAAAGTTAAATGAAAGCATTTACAGCTGTGAAAATGTCTCCAGAGCACTGAATTTGAACATCTTTCGCTCAATGTAAGTTGAGAGTTAAGTTCATAGATGTAGGTAGAATCAAACTTATTTGAATACATTTTTGTTCACACTTTTCAATAAAAATTGAATTTTCTTCTTATAGATTATTCTAACAATCTTAATTTTGCTCTTTAAATCAGCAGTTGTAAGTCCAGCAATTTTTATTCTATCAGAATAGAACTCAGAGCATTTTCTCTCGTATCTTTATATTTATACTCATCAAATATTGTCATCATTAGGCTGCAGGATTCATGAAACATAAATGTAGGCAATTTTGACACCAAAGTAAAAAGTTGATTACCATTGATGTAAATATTTTAAAAACGACCACTTTATGACTTTGTTGCATTGGCTATGCAGATAATATTTTATGAAAAATTGTATTTCTTTTTAATAATAAATAAAGCAAAAGAAGTTTATTAACTTTGTTGAACTGAATGTTCAAACAATAGATTTCGTTCAACTTTAGATGATCAATTAAAGTTGAATTGTGAGAAACACCTTTATAAATACAAGAGTTGCTATCCAGTAGGTTGACCAAGAGGAATTGGGAGAAATTAATAAGTTCATTCGACATCGACAAGACTCAGATTTTTCTACAGGGTTGAAATTATTTTTACACACTGGTATTAAGCTGGGTTTCCATTGCACGAAAAAAATCACTCTCAAAATTAAATGCTATAATCATTCACAAAATGCCGTCTCGGGTTATGATTTAAGGGTTTACAAGTTGAGCCATCAGTTTGCACGAGACAAGCATGCCATTTATAATAATTGCTGCAACAGCGTTTGCCATCATGGCGATACTTTTTGTCTTTGATGCTTATTTCCTTCCATGCACCCTTTCTCTTGTTCCTGTTATGAAGAATTTTCTCTTTAGCATCCTACAAAATTCAGTGGTTGTGGTACATCGAATGTAGTCCTCCTGGTTCAAACTCATATTCGAGACAAGTGCGTTCACACGGAGAGAAATAAACAACGCGAAACACTAAAAAACTGACTGAAACATCTTCTTGCCAAAAGTTTTGCAGTCCCATCTAGGTATCCACAATGTGTGACAAGTTTTATAATTGATTTTCATGTAATGAAAACCCCGCTTAAGACAGTACGATAGAGAAGATGAGAGGAAAATAATAACCGACAGAGAGATGAGGAAAGAAAGAAGGATTAAGAAAGAAAGAACTTTCAGACTGCACTCAGAATAACAAGTTATAGGGAACTACAGACTCAAAGGGCATCTGAAATCAGTTCGGTCTAATTAACAGTCAATGTGGTCAGTTATTATTTACTCCTCAAGCCCAAGGAACAAAAAATTAAACGCATAAGTTTAAAAAATCTAATAATTCAATTTTCCTCAGCTCAATAAATATTTTCAAAATCCTCACTCACAATTGTGTATTTTGTTCTTTTATTACAGTAATGAGTCACCTGCATTAACCATTCCTGCCACCGACATTCTCACAACTAGTGTTATTGACAATATGGTGTGAATTTTTGTTGTTCGTAAAACCATTTTTAAGAATTTTGATACAGATAAAAATCAATAAAAAAGAAATGAAAATAATATATTATTAAGAAGTTAAGTTAGTAAATAAATAACAAATATCTTACTTTTTACACTTTAGAATTACATACATTATATATAGATATATTTGTCCTCAATATACATTTTAGTTTTATAATACATAATTAATTTTTTAATGTTTAACATCTAATATCTTATATATACTACCTTGTTCATTACAAATAAAACATGTGACTAGGTAATAAACTTTATCTTTAAACTAAAAGAACACTTGTATTTCTTACCATTAATTATTTAATTTTCAGTGTCAATTTTGTATTTTATAAAATTTTACTAGTGAGTGAAAATAAATAAATCCTTTTCTTCAGAATCTATTATTTAATATTATTTGGCTAAATTATATTACAATTAAACTTCAGTTAATTATTTTCATAAATATTATTAAATACTTTCAAGATATTTTGAAAAATTGAAGCCAAAACTGATCCAAACTAAATAATTGTTATTGACAAAAATCTTCAAAATTTCAATCCATGATAACTTTGCAAGGAATCCCATGCGTTTGGCTTCCCTGATGGAATGGTTGATATTTTTTTATTGTAGCCATTTCTAAAATAAACTAGCAATATATCCAAACATTTTAAATAGGCACTTAAGTATGAATAGTTGTACTTTTTATAGATCAAACTAATTAATTTATTTGAGATATTTACATTTTTTTTCATTTTTCTTTACACTTGAACTAATACAGTTGGATAATTAAGAGTGTTATGGCGACAGTAAACAAACTGTTATGGAAGTAAGAAAGAGGAATGGAATTTGACGTGTGATCTAGGAATTTATCAGGAATGTTCTGAGCCTTTTCCATCATCCACTTAAACCCTCTCGTCCTCCTCTCCCTTTTCAGTTGATCACCAACTTCGTTCCTGATCCTTGTATTGTACATGTTAATCCACATTATCTTTCAAAAGAAAAAAAAAATTATGCAAAGTTCAAGCAGAAAAAGTTATGTGTTTAACATACTTCTTGAGGACTAAGGAGCTTCATATTGATTAGCTTTGGTTCAAATGGAATGAGAGTTGTAGGTTGAAAAGCCAAGTTGTTTCCCATTATTTGTCCATTTAATTTGATGAACGACTAAAAAAAGGATCAATTAAAAATTAATAAAAGTGAAACATTACGGAACTTACCTCATCTTTGATCACTTCTAAAACATTTTTAAGTTTAATTCCATAACTGTTTTCTTTTGAGAAACTTGAACCTAGAAATTTACATCAATTTAAATTTAATTTTCAAATGTTATTTACGTTTAAAAATTTCTATTTACCAGCTACGATAAAATTTCCTTCGTAGAACTCATCTGTTCTGTATTCCCTGTCAACCAATATAGGCCCTTTAAAAGATAAAAAAAGTTTAGATTTGACAAAAATTCAAAGGTAACACATGAACACCTTCTTCTGCTGCTAATTGTGAACCGATGCCATGTGCCGTCGGATGTTGGTAGTCGTACCCAACTTCCCAGAGTGGTGCTCTCATCAACATGTCTGTCGATTGAGCTTTGAGATCTGGCGGGAACACCAATGCTGAATAATTTATCAAACCTTTAAGCATTCTTGTATATATATCAATCTGTTCATCAGTTGGAGTCCCAAAATGGAATGTTCTTGCTGCTGAAGTAGTACCATCTTTAAAAAAAAGTTGTTTTTTGTAAATTTCAACATTATTTATTTAATGTAGCACATACCGAGATATTGCCCTCCTGCGTCTATTATAAAAACACTAGAGTTATCTAATTGGATGGTTGTTTCATTGTTAATGTAATAATTGTAAGCGCTGTGCGGTCCGAAAGCGACTTGTGTTTCATAACTGATGCCTGTTGAAAACTGCTGCTCTTTTCTCATACCGTCAACATAACTGGCAACTTGTGCTTCATTCCATTTTTCTCTTTTGACCTACGAGTCACTTCCAAAATTTAGTTTTTAATTAGAAACTAATTCAGTTGTTTAATACCCTGTCTTCAAGGTAGCCCATTATATCACAAAACACAGAAGCATCCCTTAAATGAGCATCTCTCATTCCGACCTTTTCAACAGTATTTTTAATCGATTTCAATTTTAAAACTAGAGATTCATTAATGTAATGTATTTTCGGTTCAATCTACAAGACAAATTTAAATTAAAATCATAATTAAACAAGTAATATTTATTTTTAAACCACTTACAGAGTTATAAATGGCCCGGTTTATTACAGGAAACGGCCCATCTTGTGGAATGCAAACAGCCTTCCAAATTTGTGAGTAGGTGTTCAAATGTGAGATAATTGCATCATAATTATAAAGGCTAATGGAAAATTAGGAACATATATTAAAACTAGTTATACAAAAAAAAACAACTCAATTTACTTTTACATACGTTACACAGTCCTTGTTGTAACAGCTAAACATCTGCAACGATATATTCATGGATTTATGGACTTTATCAGCATCCATGAATAAGCAAATTTTATTCTTAGTGAGTATCAAGTATGATTTCACCATTGGTAAATAATTTACATGCATAGCTCTGACATTAAGTAGCCATGCAATTTCATCCAATGCTGTAAAAATCAAAACGTCACATTTTCCATCCTCGAAAATATCCCTCAGTTTTGCAACTTTTTTCATCCAACTTTTGCCTGAAAAGTAAATTTTTTAATGAATATGCTTACGAAGTGTCTTTTGATACCGATATACCAGTGTAAGAAATGTCAATCGATTTAACTTCAATTTTTGGGGGAGTTGGCTTGTTCTTCCATATCATGTCAATCAAATTTGGCTTGTTTATAATTTTTACTTTTTTCCTTAAATCATCAGAAATATAGTTATAAGGTATTAACTTATCATCGACTCCAATTTTTTGGTGTTGCCTGATATTCTTTACAATCCAATCTTCCATTTCCACCTAGAAATACATTCATCGTTAGTGTAAACATAAAAAAATACAATAAACAAAAAAACTACTATGCAACAAATTCAAAATGATTGCTCTTTAATAAAGACCGGTTGATTTATGTTTAGTATGTCATTATATATGGTAGATGAAATTAAGACATAACCTAGACAAGTTTACAATTGTGTTTAAAGTTATTTAAAGTTTTAGTATTAGAGGAAGACCAGCTAAAAAATGAAAAATTGGAATAAAATTAAACGATTGAATTAGTAAATAAATAGGTACAAATAATTGGCAGTTACATTGTCTATGTAGGGAACTGTAAATAAACATTTTGCGGAAAAAAGAGGCTAAAAATAAATTTGTGCTAAATTCTATACAAGCAATTAATTAAGGTTTTTAGTTGAGATGAAAATAAGTTAATGGCACGAGCGGGATTCGAACCCACGATCTTCGGCTAATCTTTTAATTGTTAATTTAATTAAATTGAAAAATGGCAAAAAGGAAGGAAAACTCATAAGGTGGGGTTGAGATAGGAAGTTGATGTCCGAGTGGATCGAGGTCACAATAGCTCAAATGGTACAGCAGCGGCGTATCTAGCCGAAGATCATGGGTTCGAATCCCGCTCATGCCATTAACTTTTTTCATCTCAACTAAAAACCTGAATTAATTGTAACGTATTAATTGGTCAAGCGGACACGAAATTAGTGAATTTAATTCTATACAAGGTATAACACCAAATCTTATGCCATTTTCATTTGAGAAACTAGTGTGAATGAATGAATGAATGAATGGATGAATAATAGTATTTATTTACATGGAATACAACAAACTCAAAATATGTTACAAAATACTTTAAGGCATGGACAACAGTCCGTCAGCCGGAGTTGATGTGAGCAAACACAGAATAATAATAATAATAAACATACATGAAATAATTAAATTAAATTAGTCTATGAACGTACTAAAAAATACTGCGATTAAATTAAACAAACTTACAAAAATTAAATAAATGAATAAATCAAGAATAATAAAAATAAAGCAATACTATAGAAGAAAATCGAAGAAATAGTAATAATAAAAGCTAACAAAATAAAGAGATATTGTAAAACATTAATAATTAAAGTGTTGGACTAGCTCGAATCTGTAAGTCCAAGCATGGCGAGCAAATCTGATGAGAGGACGACACAGACGGCCATCATTTANGGATGGAATTTCCACACATAAAATTTTTAAATTTAAAAGTATTAATCAATTGCCATAAATCCTTTGAGTTCTTGACATTATTAAATTGAAACGCTAAAGAAGTATAAAATTGTTTCTTTGTATTCTGACAGAGAGATTTATATGCCTTATTTGCAAAAAGATAAGCATTTCTAACAACAACTGAATTAGATTTACGAAAAAGTTTAAGGAGATTGAATAATCTAGATCTGGCATGCATACAGTTATAATTGTACCATGGTTTTTTTCTCACACTTCTTATAAGAGAATTATTCCCAGGATGTGAGGGACACGAGGATCTAATGGCAGTGACCAAAACGTCCACCCATTCTTGCGGATGAGAAGGAAACACTGAGACATTGTTTAGAATAAAGCTTAATCTGGATTTGTAAGAAGTTGACAGATTATCAGACCAAACTAACTGAGGAAGCAACGGAAGAATATTGTCCGTAGCTGGAATTTGAAAATTAAATGTTATATTAATGGGAAAGTGATCAGAAAAATGCATAGGAAGAACCTTAAAATCCTCAATCATAGGAATGATATCCAAAGAAACGCAGCACAGATCATTTACTGAAGAACCAACTGTGATTGAGAAACTAGTGTTGAAAGTTTGATACTGTTTTTAGGTATATCATTTGTTTGAGGTCCTAGCCTGGGGTTTTCAAAATCACGAACCAGTAGAGGAGGATGAACATTTACAAGAAAAAAAAAAAAAAAAAAAAACATAAAGAAAAAAACAACTAAATTTGCCAATAGTCCTTCTACCTTTCTCCATTGAGTTTTTCCAATTTGTCTTTTCACCCTCAAGTTACATACAGGGTGAGTTTGAGTTTCCCCGATATTTTTAATTTATTGTTATTATTATTTTATTTTTATCGGGACATTTTTGAGAAAAACCCTGAGACATGTAAACTTTTATTTTTTGTCAAGTTTCTCATGAGCCAAAGAGTTTTGATTTAATCTCTCCAGGATAGCAGGATATGACTAGGGCTTAAATATTTCAAAGAGCAAGGTGGTAAATTCATGTACACATTTTGGAAGGTTTCTTGATGCTGAATTCCATGGTAGTTTTTAATTTGGAGCAACCATTCTCAAGTTATTTGCAACAAACTATACCTGAACATTGCTTTTTAGAAAAATGAAATCTTTTCCAACTCAACAAAGAACCAATTTATGTATTTACAATTTTAGTTGATAGTAAATTAATGGTTTAATATGTTTCCAAACTTAGCAGCAATGTTCTCATAATAACATTGATTAAAAGGGTGCTCTGGATTCTGTTGAGGAAAATTATTTTTACCTTTCATACTATAACAAATTTTCATTGATAAGTAAATAAAACATTATCTAAAACAACTATGAACAATAGAACAATCTTATTTCCTTTAAAAAGAAAAAAAAAGGAAAAATTGTTTGGTTCTCCTATTGGATGACAATCTACTCTCTTTCTAAATGGAGCCAAGGCATGAAACCCGTCAATCAATCGGGTTTCATTGAACAATGTTTCCTTACATATTAAACCAGCATCTAGTTACTCACTGAAGATGGCGCTGTGCCGAAACATGTTTGAATAACTCAAAAATACCCGTGTGTGGAGAGGGACCAAGTGATCCTGGGCCGTTTCAACATTAGTTCACCGATTCACAGACCATTTCCGTAACCACCCATCATCATTTCTTTATATATTAGATACATACCAAGTGGGTTAGGAAATTGTATTAAGCCACCATTTAACAAATTAATAAAAATAAAATATTAAACTTCTGTCTGCATTATTTTGTCAAAGTTATTAATTCTATGATAAAGATTTTTTCGGGTAATATTGACAACATAATAATTTTGCTAATTGATTGAGAACTTTTTTGTATTCTTATATTTCGTCAATATAAATAAAATCATATAAATTGAGTAGATTTAAAAACCTATTGTTCAATAGTTGCCTATCATTCTTGTCTGCCTTTCCTCATTCAAGAACCAACAAAAATCAGCGAGGATGGGCAGACAAGAATGATTTTTTTTTTAATGGATACCAGAAACTGGAGGAATTGCTCCTGAGCACTGCAGCTGTATCCTACAGCTTATTGTACTTTATTCCTGGCTCCATTGTGGGGGGGGCTCACAACTTGCATGTGAATTTGAACCTCTGGTGTGCCGGTGTTTTTCTGTCGAAGAAACTCATTTTTTAAGGGGGTTGGGACCAAATTCAGTGTCCCACCCCAGACCTTTCATTAATGAGTGCAGTGACAATTTATTCCGTTAGGCATCAGAAAAAAGTCAACGGTCAAAAAGAGGCAACGGTGGGAATCGAATCCACAACCGTGGGATCACTAGCCATGAGTCTGACGCCTTAACGACTCGACTACCACAATCTGCAACCAGAACGATAGATAATTATCAAGCAATATGTTTATAATCCTGCAGATCACAGAAAACAGTCTTACAAGATTTAAAAACTAATTGCATATTGCATAGTAAAATAAATGTATTATTTCACTAACTTCAGAGTTAATTGAGCTGTAAAGTATCCAATCACAAGAGAGCATTTCATTAGCTTGTACTAGTTCATTTGGATCCACCCAAATCGCAGCTTTGCTCTTTGTCACGACTGCGACGCCTTTTTTACCAGCGAATCCGGATATAAACTGCAACCGCCTGTCACCAGGCTCCAGTTCTTGACTCTGTTAAAAAGAGAATGAGTTAAACAGCTGTGAAAACAATCTGTACCGACATTTTATACTTGGTGTTCATTGAAATTTGTGATGATATATCCTTCTAGCAAACGATCTTTCCACAATTCGGTTCTCAATGCTGCTAGCCTGGTACTCGTATCGATCCTGCCTTTGACTGGGGTCGTTTTGTTGAATCCAGGTCCACAGCTAATTCTTTCAATTGCATGCAACCCTGATAAATGAAGGAAATATGCAATTGACCCTAGAAAAATGAAAATATTAAAAAACGAGTGTCATTAAAAATCACATCAAGAAAATCAAACATTATAGTTTTTAACTTTAACTTTTTCCATATAGCAAATGGACTTTTTTTTTTTTTAATTATAACAAATATTTAAAATTTCCAGATATTTTTATCATTGAACTGGCAGGAAAACATTAAACAATAGTTGTTTTTCCGTTATTTAACAAGAAACATTTGAGCAATTATTAATTATAACTCATATTTTAGATAACATAAGTGTTTTTGATAATAAACTGAATCACTAGAATTTTTCATTAAGGGATAACATGAGAAATGTCTGAAAAGTATTCTGGTTTAATCAACATAATAACTAATTAAGTAAGAGATTTAAGAGGGTCATTTATGTCAGAAATGCAGGTCAGTGTGGATGATAAAAGAAGCCGAAAGGCTTTTAAATATATAAGGGAGGTGGCCCTTTCTATCAGATGAGGGCATTTCATTTCCTGCCTTCTCAGTCAAGAAGAAAGGAAGATAATATTTTTGTTTCCATTTATTGTTATTAATGAGAATCAAACCATAAGTTTTTGTATATTTATGCTTAAATTGTGGTTAAATAATGTGGTTAATTCTGCTTAAATGGCACAAAATGGACTGAATAAAAGAGTAAAAATACATAAAAACAATAAGAATTATGAAAATTCGTTTAATTAGAGTAAAAAACCATTTTTAGTATGCTGGGTTTGAATGCAGGGCTGTCGGATTTGACCCAGGACTTTACAGTGATGGGTGCCATGTCACACCTAAACCAACATCCCAACCAAATATCTAAAATGTTGAATAGTTTAAATATTTTTAAAATTGCTTTTTGCATTTAATACAATCTTATTAATACAAAGATAAAATGTTGCAAATGGCAGGAAGAACGAGAGAAGTGAAACTTCGTCTAACTTTATTCAACCGATAAAAAGCTCTTTCCAGTGTTTCAAAACAATTAGTATCTTTATAATCAATAAAAATAGATGAAAGTGACAAAAAATGGAAGATAGACACACAAGAAATGTTGACTACCTTACAAAGTTTTAAGGAGTATTTCAAACTAAGAAAATGTTGAATTTCGAGAGATATCTTCATTTAAAAATATAAACTTTATAAAATAAAACTTTACAGAAATATTTTTACAATTTTGTCTGGATAACCTACATATTGAATATGCGTAATAGTATTGAAAACTGAGATAATTTCTCTCTTTTAGCAAAACAGAAAGAGTACCACAGGGATCCATCTTGACTCCTCTCCTTTTTACACCCTTCCTCAATTCTATGCTCAAAATAAAATCATGACCAAAATGAAATCATGCCAATTAGCAATGTATGCAGACAACATAGCGCTAATGATCTCATCTTGGAGAACAAATGCAATTGCAAAAAGACTAAAAAAAATCCTTTATGTAAAAGATGAACATTAAGGATTAACGTATCTAAATGTGAAGCAATTCTGTTCACAAAAAGGCATCCCATAGTAATTGAAGCAATTAACTATAACAAGAATCCCTATCTTTTGGTCAGATAAGGCAATTAACTTTGAACAGTAAATTTAATTTTTGGTCCTTAGCTTACGAACAGGATTGTTAAAGCTAAACAATATCATTCTTCTCCTCATGAATCCAACTGTAACATCTCAATTTACAATACAGTAGTCAAACCACTGTTAAGGTTTAACCTGCATATCTACTTTTATAAAAATGTAAAGAATCCGTAACTATTTCCTACATCTAATGATTTCATCCAGAGGAACCAGCCTAGAACATCTGCATAACAAAATTGAAATCTCTTGGACATATGAGACAGTGAAAAACAACATCATGAAATTTTATTACAAGTTCGCCTTAAATAAAAACTCTGTATACTTCAATAGGCAATTATGAAATTCAGGTATTGTGAAAGCATAAACGCATCAAATCAATTTTAACGCAAACATATGAATATAATTTTTTAATTCTATGTTTTATGTGTGGTGATTAGTGACCGTTAATCGATATTTATTTAGAAATCGTGAGATGCGGTCTGGTGTGATGTAGGTTTCAGAAAAACATTTTCTTTATCGTGCCAACGTTTGATTGAATATATAAAAAATATATTTTGCATTGTATAAATTAACTTTTCCACATCCAAAATGTAATTGTTATATGTAAAAAAGTTTGTAAATCCCAGGCCCTGAAGATGATCTCAATAAAGATCGAAACGTTGGCACGATAAAGAAAATGTTTTTCTGAAACCTACATCACACCAGACCGCATCTCACGATTTCTAAATAGTTACAACTACTGTAATGTTTATATTTCCATCTAATCTACTTAATAATTATTATCTTTAAGTATGCAAAATGTAAGGTTTTTTTAATTTTCCCCCTCTAATTACAATATAATAATCGAAATTTCAACGACAGCAACCAAACAACATTCAGATCTTTTAAGATAAATTATACTACTTATTAAGAGAGAAAACTAAAGAGAGGAAGAATGTGAAAGAAAGGACAATAAAATATTAAGAAGATAAAAAATGGTGGGCTGGAGGGGAGAAGGTCCATCATTCTTTATTCAGAAGGTACGAAAACCCTTTTCAATGTCTCAAAGTAATCCGGTTGATAATCTTTTCGCGATCCCATCTAGTTTGGAAAGGTTTCCGTGTTCCGTGTGTCTATCATCAGCCTAGAAATAATGAATTGCTGTTAGTGATGAACGGTTTGATTAATGATGGAGAAAAAAAAAACTGGACGGGCGGTGGTATGGTAAGATAGAAAAACCGGGTCCGTAATCTAGCTAATGGTGCAGCCAGTGATTTCCGACACGCCACAGTGCCAATATTCAATCCGTGAGGAATTTAGCTCAAAAGTAGGCCGACGACGAATCGAACCGCGTTAATGAAAATTTGTTTAAAAATTGTTTTATTTTGGCTTTTCACAGGGTGAACCCGACAACCGAGACCCATTGGAATTTTTTTCCCGAATTTATTAGACATTCAAAAGCCGTCATATAAAAGAACGCCGAAGAGGCAGGAAGATCCGATGTATCTCTGATCTTGCCACGCACTGACACGATAACAAATCTGTCAACAGGCGTGATTTGGCTCTGTAAATCTCTTTCGTCATAATTCAAAGGGGGTCGTGGAACTGTTCCAATCAAGCATTTCTGTGAATGGACACACTATTAGCGCAATAAGTTTCTACTATAATAAGAGATAGTTTAATACATTTAGAAACAACTGTTATTTTCTTGCCAGTTCAATTATAAAAATTATACATTTTTACCTCAATACTTTTATTTATTTATTTTACAACTGCAACTAGTAAAACGTTTAATATTCACATATAAACAATATTAACAATAATGTGGTCCTATATTATCCCCGATCCTACCAAATATATTGTTGAATGTCAGCTGGTCGTTCACCCTTACGTCAATATTAACAATAGCCGAAGGTCGTGGGTTCGAATCCCGCTCGTGAGACTGACTTTTTCATTTCAACCAAGACCTTACATGCAAAGAATAATTAATTAAAAGAAGTAATTTGGTCGATCAGACCACTAAATATAATGGAATTAACAATAGCTTTGAAGTTTGACCAGCAACCATCCAGTAATGTTGGCCGTTAGTACATCAAGCACGATGGACTTCATCCTAGGAGACCGATGTCAAGTAGTTTTCCTCACAACATTAACCCTATTATGAGGGAATTTATTTATTAAACTAACACATGACACATAAAGTACAAATATAATTAACATTTATTTCAATTAAAAAATCAAATATAAAATATTGATGTTGAAATATTATTCTATATGTGGTGTTTAGTGACCGTTAATTAATGATTATTTGGAAACCGTGAGATGCGGTCTGGTGTGATGTAAGTTTAGATAAACATCTACATCTAAAATCTACATCACACCAGACCGCATCTCACGATTTCTGAATAATTATCGATTAACGGTCACTAACCACCGCACGTTTAGATAAACATTTTCTTTATCGTGCTACGTTTCAATCTTCAGACCAAGAGACCATCTTCAGAGCCTGGGATTTATAAAAATTGTTTAAATTATATAAATACATGTAGGATGTTAAAAAATGAATTTATTCAATGCTAGAAATTTTAGATTCAATCAAAGTATTTGTACTCACTCAAAGTGTCTGTTTTCCGTGAAGATGTGTCATTAATGTGGGTCGTGTTGAGAGCGCCAGTGAGATATTCATGTTTTATGTGTATATACGTTGGATTTTGAAAGGGTGGGGAAGGAAGTCGGGATAGAAAGGCATTTTTTTAATATGAGAAGTCGGCTTCTTTGAGGCGAAAGGAGCCGACAATGGGAAAAACGTGGGTAATGGTTTGGTCTGATTAGGATTATACAGATGGGGATAATTAGGGAAAGTAAAGCCAAATTGTTGAAGAATTAGACTATATTTATTTAGAAATCGTGAGATACGGTCTGGTGTGATGTAGGTTTCAGAAAAACATTTTCTTTATCGTGCCAACGTTTCGATCTTTATTGAGATCATCTTCAGGGTTCAAAGTGTTTGTCTTCTGTGTAATTGTGCCATTCTTGCGTGTCGTGTCGAGAGTGCCCTCTGGCAAGCAAAATAACTTTTTTCATGTAAAATACATCAAATTTGCTTTATTATACGGGCTGAACTTGATTTAATAAGAGCTAACCTAACCTTTGCGAAATTTAAGTTTCAACTTCTTAATATCCTCGCAATTAAATATTTTTTCAAAAAACACATGCTACATAATGCTGAAGAATTTTTCAACATAAACAACACCAGAACATTTTTAGACAGGTACATATTAAGATATTCAGAAAATTTCTAAGCAGTATGTTTTCTACCTACAAAAAACTTCAAATTTGGAAAAGACTTAATAGCACTTTTTTAGTATATTTTTGTTGCCCTCCCTACTTCCACCTTTGTATCTATCTATCATTCTGTCTGTATATCTATCTAATTTATGTGTCTTTCTTTTTTC